TATATATATATATATATATATATATACTCTTACACTACACGTCATAGTATATACGTGCATTACATATCTTAATATATCTGTACACTCCCACACCGCAAGTCATAGAAAACACATGCACTCTCACACTGCGCATCATCATATATGCATGTATGTAAGATATTTTTATCCTAGTTCATATATTTTGATATATACACAATACATATATTTTCATTTAGCTCATGATAATTATATCATTCGAAATATATTTTCTAAAATATAATATGCATATGATAATTCATATGATCACTATTTTATAGTGAATTAAATTTATATTTACTTGATTAAACTTAAAAATAAAAATATTAAGGAAAGATCATGTTCCTTAATAATCGAGTATACTAGGGAGCGATATATCTATTAAATTGAGAGCATATAGTCATGAAATATATTAATTAAGAACCTTACCTCTTGATTATCAATTTATAATAATTCATAGAAAAAGTTTGATAAAATTCTTCATAAAATAAACTATAATTAACCTAGATTCCACCATAAAATTTTCTAATAATTTATTATATAATCAATCAAATGAACTAGCATTAATCAAACCATCACATAATTCAACGAAGAATTTTTTTTCACTATTCTAACTCACCAAACAACCTTGAATTATCATAAAATTTTATAAAATACTACAAAACATATAGAACTAAATACACACCAAAATTTAGCTTTAAACCAAATCATTTGGAGGCTATATACTCTCATAATTCAATTACCAATACTTATTCTGTTCTACTGAAATTGGGTTAAAACTATTTGAACTTATAAATCTTGTATCTTGGTGTATAGAGGTGGTTTTCACTCAATTTCAAATCTCATAAAATTCCGAGGAAAGCTTTTAAAATATATGAAAAGGTTATAATCTAATCATATCCCTAAATGGATTAATTTAGCTATGACAAAACTCATTCTAAAAAAAAAGAAGATTATGAGTACCTCATATTAAAACAGTAATAACTCTATACACTAATATCAAATTAAGATCATACTAGATGCCTTAAAACCGTAAGAGAATAATCCAAAATATATATAAAAAATATAGATAAATTCAAAGTCTAGATTACTCAAAGTAAATAAAAGGAAGATCAACCTATAATTCATAAGATTGAAACCCTAGGTATAGTAAGGGAAGAATTGAGTTTTCTCACCTCAGTCTTCCTTAGAGTTGGGGTTTTATGATATTCTTGAGAGAAGCTAAGAAAATAGCTAAAGAAGGAGATAAAGGGTCATGGGTTATTAGCTTATTAGCTGGGTAAAAAGGATAAGGCCAAAATTAAGATAGAAGCGCTGAAAAGATTACCTTGAGATATAGGATTCAATCCCATTATGCCTTATTTTAAGTTTTTTTATTAATATAATTTTAATATCATAGCAATTTTAATTAATTTTAATTTAGTTTGGACAAAGATGATATTTTTGATCTAAACTCATCTTTCAATCTCACTTATATATTTCAACATTTAGTTTAATACTTCTCTTTCATTTGTATTCTCATTTAATTTTCTATTACTCGTAAGTATCTTATTATTCTCTAGATACATAAGGTTTAAAACATAATCTTTCTTATTTTAATTATATTCAAGCTTCAATGTTTACTTCAAATCGATTATAATTCAATCATCATTTCTAGTCTATGCTTATTACCATAACTTAATCTCATTTTCAAGTCCGCTAATGCACTTATTTGTACTATGTTTAATATAAACACTTATATATACTTAGTCAATAATTTATATAACACTAAGAATGATATTTTTGAAATACATATACTTCAATTTTACAAGTTAAAAACATGAACATGTTATTATTTATCATATTTATTAAGCATAGACATCACAAATCATATCATAATATTTGTGCTTCAATTGATATACTAATTATAATATGAGATCCAAGCACTATAATATTATTTTCGTCAAAATTTGAGAATTTCTTCTCGTTTGTGATCGTTCTTTTATCATGAAAATATAGGTTCACTTTTGATGGTGATAATATTTTGACCTTGTTCTCCTCCTCATGTAATCATGGGTCATATGTGTGTGGATTTATAGAATACATATTCTTACTTTCTATTATTATTATTATTATTATTATTATTATTATTGTATTTGATGTATCTTAAAAAGTGAAAAATAAAAATATAATATGGAGTTATGTTTCTACTGTGAGCGGTGAAAGACCATATTTTTCTTTCTGAGGGAATGTATCTTTAAGCTGATACATAGTTATCTATGTATTTTTCTAATATCTTTTTATTATTACTGTTTTTTAGTATTCATTCTCCTATGATACCACTAATATTACAACCCAATCAAAATTCATGTATGATGCCAATTCAATCAACCAAACGTGTGTGTTTATGAATCGGCGGGAAGAATATTTCTAGAAATATTAAATCTATTTTTATATTAAAATACGACCATCAAGTTTTTTTATTTATTTTAATGAAAGAAATATCACAATTCACCTGTTATGTATGCATTAAAAAGCTCAATCCAATTATTCTCATCAAACGTAGACTTATTAATGAATCGTTCAAATCGAGCTCCAAAATTAAATTACTCATTGTAATTAATTCCACATCAATTATAACTTAATGCAACCTAAGTTTTGACCACAACGAATAAACCAACAAAACGAAATAATATCTCGTACATCTCTTTGGTCAGTCCCACGTGTCACCGAAATCCGTTGGTGTTGACGACGTTGGACCCCACGTGACCGCCACGTGGTGGCCGACGGTTCGCCAGCGAAACCATATAAGCCCAGTGCGTCGAGCCCAACCGACCATATCGCTGATCTCTCTCCTTCTTGCCCGATCGAGCTCTGAAGCAGAGGGGGGGGGAGCGATGGAGGTGTTCTACTACCTGGTGTTCGGCGGGCTGGCGGCGGCGGTCGCGGCGATGGAGCTCAGGAAGACGAGGAAGGACCGCGTCGCCATCTCCTCTGCTTTCGACACGTTCAAGAACAACTACCTGTTCGTCTACTCCCTCATGATGGGTTCGTCCTTCCCTTCCGCTTTGGATCTCGCCTTTATCCAAATCGATTCGCGCGTTCGTAGGCACATCGGAGCCGTCTTTTGCCCGACCCGATGGATTCTAGAGTTATTCCCGTTTTCTAGTAGCTCGGTCACTTGGTTACTTGGGATCTTGATTTTTCTGTTTCTTGATGTTTGATGTGAATGCCGGGTTTGAACCGATGAATTCTAACGGTTGTTCCCGTTTTCTGGTAGCTCGGCGACTTGGTTTCTTTGGATCTTCATTTTTCTGTTTCTTGCTGTTTGATTTTTTGATTTTTCTGTTTCTTGATGTTTGATTTGAATGCCGGGTTTGAACCGATGAATTCTAGGGTTGTTCCCGTTTTCTAGTAGCTCGGCGACTTGGTTTCTTGGAATCTTAATTTTTCCGTTTCTTGATGTTTGATTTGAATGCCGGATTTGAACCGATGAATTCTAGGGTTATTCCCGTTTTCTGGTAGCTCGGCGACTTGGTTTCTTGGAATCTTGATTTTTCCGTTTCTTGATGTTTGTTTTGAATGCCGGAGTTGAAGTAGGTTCGTATGATCGAGAAACGGACGCTATTCTGAATAGATCCGAGTCTCGAAAAGTGACCAGACATCATTTTTGTCATCGTGGATCTTGTCACTGAAGGATCTGATTGAATTGCGTGTTTGGGTTGGTTTCCAGCCGGTGATTGGTTGCAGGGTCCGTACGTCTACTACCTCTACAGCCAGTATGGTTTGAACAAGGGAGAGATCGGCCGGCTCTTCATTGCGGGGTTTGGATCTTCCATGTTGTTTGGGACGATTGTGGGATCTTTGGCCGATAAACAGTGAGTCTTTCCTCGTCGATCGATTAAATTGCTCGAGTTCTTTCTGAGAGGCGTCTGCGGTTTTTGAAACTGAGTGCAGGGGTCGTAAGAGAGCTTGTGTCACCTACTGCATCACGTACATTGTCAGCTGTCTGACTAAGCATTGTCCAGAATACACGTCTTTATTGATAGGCCGGATACTGGGAGGAATCTCTACGTCTCTGCTTTTCTCAGCATTTGAATCATGGCTTGTTGCAGAACATAATAAGGTGAGGATGACCAACCACTACTAGAACTTTGAGGCTGTGACCACTTCGGTTATATAGAACAATGAGATTTTGTTCATGGCTTAAAGGGTTAAGCTGCTGGACTGAGATGAGATGTTGATCTTGTAGGAATTAATATGAAATAACTGTGACACTCTTTGTCTCTGCTATAAAACATCCCAACTCTAGCAGCTCTTTGACTTGTTCGATATTTCCTAGGTTCTTTTATATGTAGGTTTTGCTTCTTCAATTTGCTAGCTCGTCATTCACCCCCTTTATCTGCACCTTCTTTCTTAATCAAGATTTAATATACATTGTGTATCAAGACCATCTTGAATCATGGTTTATGATCAACAAATGATGACTTTTGGCCTGAAAGCTCTGTAAAAGGTGCTGTGCTGATGAGAGCCACGAGGGCCACGGCTTCATTTAACAGCCGGCAAGGCCTCCATGGAATGATAGTACTTGTACTTTCTTGGAGCCTCAAGATAAGCCGAGTCCATTCCTTAGAGTTCAACTGTTGGGGAATGCATAAATACTCATTTCTTTGGGTATGTGGCTCAGCTATGTCTAAGCCCTATATGGAATGATTATATGATTATGTTTGTTTATGTTTCGGTGGGTGTGCACTTGTGACAGAGTCACAGATATGAATATTCATCGACAAGAGTAATGATAGAAGCAATTCTATAAATTCATTTATTGTGCAGTTTCATCTGTCTACTAATCCCCAGAAGTTTTCACTTTATGTTTTATGTATCAGATCTCCTGCAGTTTTTGTTCCATGTATTAAAACATTGCCTATTGTATTTTGTATAATTGGTAGCTTAAAACTAGGATAAAATACTCTTTTCTGTAGCCAAGTTACTGATCTGACTAAATTTATTATCATAGGGTGTAATTAAATTTTTTTTTTTTTGCGTAAAAGAATAAATTGTCATTACATAATGAGAATTAGAACTGCTAAACCATTGGGTCTGCTTGATCAGTAGGCTACAAGCTCATATGACATTAGTTTCCTATTCCTTGTTCTGATGAATTGGTTGTTGCCCCTTCCACAGAGAGGGTTTGACCCACAGTGGTTGTCAGTAATTTTCTCAAAGGCTATCTTTCTTGGCAATGGTCTTATTGCCATTGTTTCTGGACTTTTAGCTAGTTTATTGGTTGATAACCTGGAATATCATCCTGTGGCTCCATTCGATGCTGCTGCATGCTTCCTTACCTTTGGCATGGCTGTTATCTTGTCATCATGGAGTGAAAATTATGGAGATCCTTCTGAAAGCAAAGACTTGATCACACAGTTCAATGGTGCTGCCGCAGCCATTGCTTCCGGTAAGTGTGATTTAACTTCTGTTGACAACACCAGAATACCTTTTTTAATTTAGGGCCATCAGTTGCTCTAATTGTTGTGTTGATAACAGATGAGAAAATTGCTTTGCTGGGTGGAATACAATCACTCTTTGAAGGTTCCATGTACACTTTTGTCTTTTTGTGGACCCCTGCTTTGAGCCCAAACGATGAGGATATACCTCATGGCTTTATTTTTGCAACGTTCATGCTGTCTTCGATGTTGGGGAGCTCTATAGCATCCAGGCTGATGACCCATGCAACTCTTAAAGTTGAAAGTTATATGCAGATAGTGTTTGCGATCTCTGCTGTCACTCTGCTGCTTCCAATTGTCTGTAATGTAAGCCTGTTATTAAGATGTAGTACTTTTGAAAGTTTTCTTTTGGCTAATGAGTGTTACTTCAACGCTAATGTGAAACAGTTCTTGGTAGCACCTTCTGAGCAAGGTGACGGCATATCTTTTGGAGGCTGCATCCAGCTCCTTGGTTTTTGTGTCTTCGAAGCCTGTGTTGGCATATTTTGGCCATCCATTATGAAGATGAGATCCCAGTACATACCCGAGGAGGCCAGGAGCACGATTATGAACTTCTTTCGCATTCCCCTCAACATCTTTGTCTGTGTGGTACTCTACAACGTAAGCATCGAAACTTTCTACCTCATGATTATTATGTAATGAAGTTGAAATGGCTATGTGATAGCTCTATTATAAGAAGGAAGTCGCTGATTGACGATGCTGTATTTATAAGCATCATCGATACATATGCAAAAAAGAATACAAAACAAACTGCATTTTTCACAAGTGATTTACTTTGGGTTTTATGCAGGTAAATGCTTTCCCAATCACAATCATGTTTGGAATGTGTTCTATTTTCCTGTTCATGGCCTCGGTCTTGCAAAAGCGGCTCCTGGAGATTTCTGACAGCCACAAATCAAGTAAGTATTACATGTTTTATCAATTAGTAAAAATGTGATAATGAATTATCATTGCAGCTTTTTTTTATATTATTATTATTTTCTTTGGCTAAATTTTGCCAAGCAAATCTGACCCTTTCATATCACACTACACTGGGGGTGCTTTCTTCTGCAGTGATACAAGTTTGGACTGATATGACGGAGGGGGATGATGAGGCAGAGACTCTGAACATTTGAGCCCCTAAAGGGGTGGCAGTAGAGCACTCACAGTATGTGATTAAATGGTGAAGAAAGAATTTGGAGTCTTCATTTTTCATTTAGAAGCAGCAAAAATTTTCCAAATGGAGTGGTTTGTATCTGATTCTCTGTTCGATTTACACAATATAGAAATACATAGAGGCGTCTCCGTTTAGAGAGCTGGCCAAATAAATAAATGGTCAAGCATTCTTATAATTCATTGGCTGTTCCATCTGCTATTCCAAATGTGGTCAAAACGTTTTGGTGGTTCCATGCTTCACTCGTCTGTTTGTGTTGTTGGTGCCCAAACACTTGTGTTGCCAACGTTGTTGGCTCGTATCGCTACAACTTTCTCATCAATTAGTTTTTTTTGAACTTTTATTACTACGTAGAAAAATAAGACCTCACTCTCTCTCTCCGCCGCAGCTTAAATGGAAGTCTTGCTGAGAGCCCCCGACCATCGAGGAAATCTGAGCTGGTCGTGCATTATGGGGGTTGCTGTTCCAGTAAATCACCTGTTCGAAACGGATGATATATACCACTCCAAACTTGAACCGATTCAGTGAGTGATCACATGACCTCACCGCATAATACCATACTGAGTGCGCGTCTTATTTTTCCTCTTCCTCCACCATTTTTCTTCTTCCTTCCTTCCTCTTCTTTTTTTTTTTCTTCTCTTCCTTCTTCCTCTTTTCCTTCTTCTTCCTCCCCGATGTACCGTGGACACATAGCACACCGCTCCTTCCTCTTTTACTTTTCCTCTCCTGGAATTGACTGACTGGTCGACACATCGCACACCGATATTGACTGATACGTGCCGATCCGATCAGATCACCATAATGATGATCCTTGCTACAATCACATTAAGAAAAAAAAACAAAAAACAAAACAAAACAAAAGAAACCCCAAATAATTCGAACTGTCAACCATGTCCTAACACAAAAGGATCGACCTCCGTGACTACAAGCTCGTTTAAAAATAAAAATAAAAAAACCATAAAAACTAGTTGATGCAACCCACCCCATGAACGTCAAAACCGCCCTTAACAATTAGTTCAAACTTACTTTCACTTTCACAATCTTTGAAACTCTACAAAAATAATTAGAGAGAGAAAAAAAAAAAAAAAGGAGTGGTCACACTATTCTCTCCTCTAATGCTGCCATGGACGTGTAACTAAAGAAAATATCATGTCCAGACAAGAGACAGCGCTTGTGTTACACACTTGCTAGCTTTGAGGAAAAATACATAGTCGTTCGATGCCATCCTTCTAAAGAACCCAGTAACATAACTCGAAGAACAACCTTCAACAATGCTATTCTGAAGCAGCAACAAAGTTACTGCCCAACACAGTGATGATCAAACAGAATGTGCAGCAATTAAATTAAAAGGTAAGGAAGCCTAACTAATGTGAATGACTACCAACCAATGTTTCCCAATGGGTATTGATGCCCACAAATACAAGTTGCCACCATAATTACAAGGTTCAAGTGGTAGGATGGTCTATGCACCATCTTTGCAACTTGATTCTTGCAACGGTTGAACTCTTAAAAACGATCCCAGGTGATTCACTTTCCAGGACAAACAACCAAAAATACGATTCAGATGGATGCCGACAAAGTTACTACAAAGAAACACAGGCTGCATGAACGGGAACTACAAACAGATGAGTGGAAAACGAAAACTAAAATCAAAAGGAAATATAACATCCATAACAAGAAGCTATGGAGAGAAAATACGTAGGCTTTTGTTCCTTGTGGTGTAGCTTTCATTGGAAGCAAAAGATGACACAACAAATGTCTCAAATGTCACCTATAATCAATAATTAAAAAAAAGAGCAATCAATTATTTCTACAGAAATAAAGTTTATCAAGTACGAGATGCCTTCAGTACCAAATTCCGATAATGCATATCTCTATCAACAGAAACTTTCACCTATTCGATACAATTTCCTATCGAGGAATTTTAAGTTGGACTCTTTTCCTTCTAAGCAACTTGTTAAGCTATGTGAAGCAGTAACCTGTTGTCGACACAAACCAACATTTATATCAGATAGCAACTCGCTCACCACACATATTTGCTAGATCAAACGACCACAAGATGACCAGAGACCATCCGACAAGAAGAGCACCAAAACTATCCTCACACAAGACTACATCTTGTCACCCGTAAAGTTCATTCCAAGTATGTCTTGAGTAGCCGTAAAGCTAATTCAATTTGGTTCAGCATGATTAAAAGATGTCCTTCCAGACTGATATGCATCAGATAATCCATTGATACCTAAAAAGGGTTTATTTATAATTTTCTAAAGTGCAATAACATAATGCAACATAATTTTCTACAGTTGAGCAAGACAACATACAACATGAACACTATTCCATTGCAAGATAAGAATCTAACTAGTTTCACAAAAGGTATGGAGTGCCAGAAGCAAAAGGAGAACCTACTAATCAAAATCAAATTGATCCCCACTTCCCCTCCCTCTTCCATGAACAGCAATAAGTGCCAATGGGATCTCCATTCTTATATTCAAAATCCAACAAGCAGATGTATGCTACTCGTCAATCCAAATGCGAGCAGCTATTTTCACAAGATATAATATGTCGATCAATTTGGTGCTAAGAAACTTATTGCCACAAATTTCTAATACCCTCCCGGCGTTCCACTGTTACGTGCAAGGTCAAAATTTGGCATGAGAAAGATTGAAGGAAGAAAGAAAAAGAAGGGGGAAGAGACAGAGATCCAAACCAAATGCTATATCGGCACGTATCTCTTCAAGACCTGTTTCCCAGCTACAGCAGCGCCGACCATCAAGCCGCCAATGGCACCGGCGATGGCCGCCGATCGAGGCCCATTGGCGGCCCTAAAGAGGGCTCCGGTGCCGAGCCCGGCCAGGACGCTGTTGACCCAGTCGTCCGTATCCCTCGCGGCAACCATCCCGCTCTCGAGACCGGCGTACATGAGGCCGATGACGCCGACCCGGTTACCGATGCGGCGGCCATCCTGGCCACAGGAGTTCAGGATCCGGTTGATCCGGATCTTGAGCGTGTCGCCGGGCTCGGCGGAGCGAAGGGCGCGGCGGAGGCCGAGGGAGGCTCCCGCAACGGAGCCGGAGAGGTAGCCAATTCCTGTGTAGTAGGTGAGATTCTCGCCCCAGGAACGGCGCTGGGCGAGGGACTCCTCCTGGAAGAGAAACTCCGGCGAGGTCGGGAGGTCGTAGAGGGTTCGGTAAGGGATTTGGAGGTCCTGGTAGGGGTTGTAGAGTCGCCTGTTACCGGAATCCTGGCGGTGGTCAACGTCATCTCCACCGTGTATTCCTGGATCCGCCATCGGAACTCTTCCTTGCGCCTCTAATCCCTCGGGTTCCAACTGGAAGGAGCACGACGAGAGAGAGGGGCGGCGAAGAAGGCGAAGGCGAAGGCGAAGGCGGTGGGGTGAGGAGAGTTCCAATTGACGAGGGTTTGTCTCACTCTAATTACAGAATGGTCCCTCGTGAGTCTTCCGTAAACAGCAATGCTTCGTCGACCCAGTTGGCCGCCACCCGATTCTCCTCACGTGCCTGTTTGGCTATTACATGTATACCTTGATATTTCGATCGCTATACTTATAAATTATAATTACTTTTAATATTTTGATCTCTATATTTTTAAAAATTATATTAAGATCATTATATTTATAAAAATAAAATATTAAATCATGTATAGAAATCATGATTCACTTTTGTAAGTATACGAATTTCAATATAATTTTAAAATTTTAAAGATAAAAAATACTAAAGATAACTAATTATAATGGATAATATGTAATTAATCCTATATAATAAAAGCATCAAAATTTTTGATAAAATATTTTTTTATTTTTATAAAAAGTATATTTAAAATTAAAAATAAGATAAAATTAATGATTAATATTTAAAAGTATTAGATTTAATTCTCATATATATATATTATTAAATATAAAATAATATAATAATATAGATAAGAGTGAGACAAGGACAAGAATGAGAATGGGTGAGGAGTATTATACCCATCACTGTCTTATACGATAATAGAAAATATCTTTGTTTTTGTTTATTCTCTTATTTTCATGCTCATGAGCATAATTAATACATCCAAAAGTGACCCTAAGTGTTAGATCTTCTTCTACCAATATATCACGGACTTAATTGGTTTTGTCTAAATTGTGTCGTACTCTTGTGTATCTATCCGTAAAAAGTCAATCTCCTCGAAACATCTTATAGGCTATTAGAAATTTATAAAAGAGAAGACAAGTAGCTATTTCAGTAAACACTTAAAGAGTTTAACGATCAATAAGAGAAATTATATGAACTTAGCGAAAACATGGTCCATGATCATAATGAAAGAGTATTGGTAGATATATGCTTAGAAATGGTTGGTGCATTTTCTGCAATTAGCTGAAGATTTCTTTTATTTTATCTACTAATTTCTTCCACTAGCAGAGATGAAGTGAGAAACTAAGTTTTCTATCTGATAGAAAAACTTCATAGCCTGAAACAAGTAGTTCCTACATTAGTCACCTGTATGAGTACATACCACTTGGTCTCACCACAACAACTTGCCAGTAGCTTAACACCAATATAGACCATAAAAGTTCAATTGAGGAATACAACACATTGATCATCATACAAACTTTCAGCTATAGATGCATCCGTATGTGATAGAAGGCAATACAAAGACATTGAGAAATGAAAATTTTTTCATCTGATGGTTTCCAAAGGACTAATACTGGTCGATTTCCAATAAAAATCCTACTATACAACTTTATCGATATCTGTAAAACTAGCAACAATCTCTCAAACCTTGGACCTTCAAGTTCAAAGCAACAATCTATGCCATCTTCTGCTTATGATCATCAATCCAGCACTGCTTCCTGCTGATGAACTTCAGAACTTCATCAATTAGCACCACAGGCGCAGAAACTAAGATAACCAGAAGCCACTCGTTCAGGCTCAATGGAACAATGCCAAAAATACTTGCCAAAAAGGGGACATAAAGAATGACAAAATGCAGGCCAAATGAAACCAGCATCGCAAGAAGGAGCCAAGGATTCCTCCATGGCGGCATCTGAATTAAGCTATTGTCTTCTGAAAGGGCATTGAGAGAATTGAACATCTCAATTGCTACTAAAACAGATAGTGATAAGGTCATTGCCTTAACTTTCCCAACAGTGAAGTAGTCACAGGGATCTGCCAAAGATATTTCACGATCACCAGCCAAGAACGGATTAGGCAAGAAATCGGTCCATGAGGAGCATTGTCCCCATGAGCGGAGTTCAGCCAAGGAGATGATTGTGTGGCCGTCACTTGCAAGATCTATACCCATGAAGGATGGCTGTGTGTACCACATGACAAAGACACCAACAGTTGCTAAGCCAACATATGAACCGATCACCTGATTAAGGAAAAACAGACATTAATCCATGACCAATTTGTACACCACAAGTAATTGATTGATGCAAATGGAAGTGACAGCTAATGACTTATTTCCAAGCTTTCTACCTCAGTGCTTAAATGTCTATGATAAGAAACTATCATGATTTATCTTGAAAAGCAATAGTACTTAGAAAATCATAAGAACAAACTAACAGCAACACATGTTAAGACGAGAATAATATACAGTAATTTCCTCTACTTTTAAACATCTATGTTTCAAGAGATTGTCCAAAACTCAGTAAAACTTAAATGGCACTGTCTCATGTTAAACCTAGTATTTCATTGTTTTGAACGCACATTATTTAGGGAACTTCCTCGGTTAAATTTTAAATCTGTGGATGTGGTTCTTCAATCAAGAGTGCAGATTTCATCATTTAAAGGAAACTACAGAAAAGCTTAAACATGAAGCATTGTACTTACCATATAACGGAAAAGAACCCAAGAATTGATAAGAGCATCATTGCTCTTGCGGGGTGGTTTCTGCATAATATCAACATCAGCAGGGTTAAAACCCAGAGCTGTTGCAGGAGGCCCATCTGTGACCAGATTGACCCAAAGAAGCTGAACCGGTATTAGGCATTCAGGTATGCCAAGTGCAGCAGTCAGAAAAATGGATATCACTTCTCCCACATTAGATGAAATCATATACCTAAACAAAAAATTTGTATAAAATGAGCAGAGCCCATAGAAAGTTAGCAAACTGAAAGATGCTCAGAAAGATACCTGATAAAAGATTTCATGTTGTTGTATATAGCACGACCTTCTGCAACAGCTGAGACAATCGTACTGAAATTATCATCTGCCAAAACCATATCAGCAGCTTGCTTTGCTACCTGAAACAGATACAAACTAGAAACTGTCATTTTAGATCAATTGTATTTCAGTAAATAGTGGTGGAACTCCTAATCCTAGTCCAAACATAAGCTTCAGAGTATAATCAGTAAAAAGACCTTTTTAAGGTACAGAAGAATATTTCAAAATTTCTAAACAGTACTTCATGATTACCAAGATAGAGAAGTTGGTACTAGTTAGGAATATGCCCAAGAGCAGAAAAAGCTTAAGAACTGATACATTACAAGTTCATCTCCAAAGTAATCTCTAAAGAACAATATTACAATATTTATTTTCAGATGGATGATTTGATAATGTTTTCTTTAATCTTACTCCTTCCATGTAAACATTACATAAGAAGAAGGCTTGACACCAACAGAATTGGAACACCTAACTTCTAGATTGTGCACATTGCACCTTAAACACTAGCTTGTCATCTCAAATAAATTTGAAATATTATTTACAAGGCTCATAATGTTCCACTACTTTCATAAGGAGAAGTTACCTAAATTTAAGGCATCAAAGAATAACATGCTTCATTTACCTCGGTTCCTGTTATACCCATAGAGATACCAATATCAGCTAGCTTTAGTGCAGGTGCATCATTGACACCATCTCCAGTCATTGCAACTATCTCACCCATGTCCTTCAGTAGCCGCACAATATCTTGCTTATGCCTAGGCTCGGCACGTGAGAAAACTATACCTCCAGGTTTTGACAAAATTTCTATTTGTTTGCTAACTGGAAGAGCCGTGAACTCTTTGCCAGTAAAACTTTTTCCTTTGAGGCTTGTTTTGTCCAGAAACAACCCAATTTCCTGGCATACTGCCTCTGCTGTGGACTTGTTATCACCAGTAATGACCATAACTTTAATACCTGCACAGTTACAATCTTCAATGGCCTTATGAACTTCATCACGAGGAGGGTCCTACTCAAATTTGAAAGATCACAATTATCAGTCCACAGAAAAATATTTGCAATTCAGAGTAGTTAAAAAAGCAACAGTGAAGACTACAACAAATGATAAGGAATAAATCAAGAACTTTACCCTCAGACCAACAACTCCAACAAAAATTAGATTACTTTCAATTTCAGAGTAGTTAACAGGATCAAGCAACCACTTGTGAGCAGGATGAGTTTCTGAATTGTAGTCAGAGAACTCTCCCAAGTCGTCTTTAAATGCAAATCCCAAACATCTTAATCCCTTCGAACTCATCTCATGTACATTCGACATTATTAATTGTTTACATGCCTCATCCAGTAGAGCAAATGATCCATCTGGAAGCTGAACATGAGAACTCCTCTCTAAAACACTTTCGAAAGCACCCTGACAATGACAACCAAATGAATGCAAAGAGGACAATATCAGATGCTGTTAAATATTGCCATCAAGATAAATACCTCTACATAAATGTCAAATACAATAAACTAGATCAAGCAGTTTCAGAAACACTGTATGCTTCAATAAAAATTATCTCATGCTGTTGTTGATCTAGTGAAACTGACAAACTTCTTGTGAAAAACTACTGAGTCATTTGATGGGAACACTAATTCAGGTGATGGCGATGGCACAATCGATAATTAAATACAACTGCAATCTCAGACCTAATTGTTTGTGTTGGTTGTGTATTGGCTGTGTATTTGTAGTGTATAATTTTTTCTATGCATTAGATACATATGAGGGCTCCACCTTTACCTGAACTTTGCATTTCTATGTACTCAACAATTCACTTCTCAATGAGTGGAGGATTACATCCTTTTAACACAAAAAGAGATGCTTCATTAATTAATGGGCACAAAAAGTTAAAACTATGCCTTAATTTTGGAATATAGAATGTTACAATAATCAAATTGCAATGTAAGTAAATCAGAAATATTAAGCACCTTGACAAGAAGACGGTTACTTCCAGTTGATTCACGGACAATAACACTCATAGACTTACGCACTCGGTCAAACTCCAATGCTGCAATCCTTTTTGATCTCTTTATCCACCATTCACAACAGCCTGTCTTAAAAAAAAGTGATAAAGAAGACAAAATTTATTGGGGGACCATTACAATGTCAAACAACTTAGATGAAACATGTTTCTTCTCACCTAATTTTACAGTAGTATGGTTGATGGAAAAGTCAGAAGCAAACTCTGCATCATGAATTCTGCTCCTTGCCTTTGCATCTGGAAGTCCCATCTTCTCAACCAGTACCTTAAAGAGAGGACATCAGAAACATTTTATTGAGCATCAGAAGAATAAATATATAAGGAACCATAAGAGACACAAACACTAACATGAAAATTGAGCAGAATCGTAAAAAGTAAGAAAAGAGTCATTTGTGGCAACTTTTTGCCTCTTTGAAATGCATAACAATTTTTTTATTATCTAAAGGTGAGAACACTGAGGAAATCTGCAAAAGATGGTCAAGAATAACATCAAAATCGGGTACCTAACTTACTGTGCAGCATAAGCGATAAATAAGGACCCCCATTCAATTCTTTATCATCGATCTGCCACAAGCAGTAAGCTGTGCACTCAACCAATATGCAACTATTATGTACTTTGCACTAGTTATCCCTTCTATGCACATAGAAATTTATCGACTACATGCTTTATTCACTAATCATTAATCATTCGGTTCCATTATGGTTCTTTGACAACTCTCCATTCAAATATCTGAAAACAGGATGTGAAAATTCATCGCGTCATGAGTTCAGGAGCAATGTTGAATTAGTAGTCATCAACATATAATTTATGCATATGGGTACCTGCTTCTATGATAAAAGCGAAGCCACTATTAGGTAAGGCACAAACCTTGAGAGCTGCCTCAGTAGGCAAACCGATAGCTCGGAAAAGATAACCTTCACGATAAAGTCCAGCATCATTGCAAACAGCACATATCTCTGCCAAAGTCTGCAAGCTATCATCCATGTTGCACTTGCTCCAGCCAATGATTCCTCCATCCTTGGGGTTGTATGTTGTACCATCTACACGAAACACTCGAGTAGTGTAGAGCTTCTTACCTAGGGTAAGAAATTCATTCACAGACATCTGGTTGGTTGTAAGAGTTCCAGTCTTATCTGAGCATATTACAGTTGTACATCCTAGTGTCTCCACGCTTGGAAGCTTCCTAACTATTGCATGCTTTTGAGCCATCTTCCTTGTACCCAAAGCTAAACAGGTTGTGATTACAGCTGGAAGACCTTCAGGAATAGCTGCCACTGCAAGTGCCACTGCTATCTTGAAATGATAGGTACATTTCTCAAAAGAAAAGTGAAAATTCCACACTGATGTATTTGAGTTGTCCCAAGTGATAAAATTTTGATAGTTGATGACCCAAACTATCAAGCAAACTGTTCCAATTGCAGTAGTTAGCCTTTCACCAAACTCATTGAGCTTCTCTGTCAGGGGTGTGTCTTGTTCCTCCTGTGAAGCTTCACTGATTTGAGTCTGAATCTTTCCTATTTCAGTGTCCATTCCGATGCTAGTGACTATACAAATACAGCTACCATTGACAATAGTTGTTCCTGCAAACAGCATGCAATCTTTTGCTTGCAATTCACAATCATCTACAAAACCAGGGCTTGTTCCTTTGAGCACAGGCATGCTCTCCCCGGTCAATGAACTCTGCTCAACCCTCAAAGTCGACATAGTCAGAGTTGCTATTCTCATGTCGGAAGGGACCTTATCTCCAACCCTCAACTCCACGATATCCCCTGGAACTAGCTCTCGAGCAGGCAAGTCGGGAACACAGCGTCCATCTCTGCGAACCTTGGCATATTCACACTGCATGTTCTTCAGGGCTTCAAGAGCCTTTCCAGCACTAGTCTCCTGCCAGACACCCACAATTGCATTGAGCATAAGAATCAAAAGGATAACAACAGGTTCCACATACACCTCAAGCCCAGTGTGGCCAGATTCATTTCCCTCCAGGTAGGCTAGTGTAAAAGATATAAAGGCCGCAATCAGTAGGATCTTGACAAGCACATCATCGAACTGTTCTAAGATGAGAAACCACAAAGGCTTTCCCTTCTCTTTCTTGAGTTCGTTCCACCCATACCTCTCCCGCCGTGTCTCAGCTTCAAAGGAGCTTAAACCCTTGCTCAATTTGACATTGTACTCCTTCAGGCACCGCTCCACGGACCAAGACCAAGCTGGGAATAGCTTTTCCTCCATATATCAAATGTTTTTAATGACTATACTTGGCTGTTACCAGAGAAGCATTTCATCAAACAGTAAGTGATCGATCGACGAAGCATACATAAAAGTATCATCTGGAAATTCAAATGAGAAAAAAAACCCAAAACGTGGTGAAATTACACAGTAGGGTCAATAAAAAACAAATGGAACATTGTAAAATCTATACAGGCCATCTCAGAGAAGCATTCAATCAAACAACAAGAGCTCTTCAAGTACGTAGAAAACACAGAAGTCTCGTCTGGAAGCTAAAAGTTGATAAAAACGATCAAACCTTGATTGAATTACACTGTAGGATCAATCAAGAATAAGCTAACTGAGAGTTGTCAAAATGCCTTTTCTCCATCCCAAATTGATCCAAAATGTCTTTTGGATCAAGCATTAGGAAGCAAACAAAAAAAAAACAAAGAAGCATACAGAGAGATGGATTCCAAATAGGAACCATTAATGTACTCTGTGATCGCGAAATAGTCTGTATACATCCATCAAAGTCTCACGACGCAAAACGAACAACACAGAAGAAGCAACAACGACCCTCAGATTAAAACAGATGGTAACGATCATTCTCCTTTCAATACTCTACCTTGCCAAGCCAATCCAAGTAATCCGATGAAAGCATGAGCAATAAGAGAATCAAACAGCCAAAAGAAACGATCTTTTCATAAGAACATACGAAAAAGTAAATCATTTATCCCGTGGGCAAGGGTTCGATCATACTCTACCCACGCAAACTGGAACAGCTTCCCGGAACTGCAGGGGTTACAGCAGTACAAAACAGAGAGCAGAATAGTAACTATACCTCCCAAAAGAACCCCTTTTCCTCCCAAACTCTCAGAAAATGAACCGCTTTAACGCAAAATAGCAACTAGCGAGAGTATGGAACGAAGTTGCAATAGCCGTGAGAGTACAAAATAGGCCCCAAGGAAAAGGAACGGAAGGAAGAAAGGTACGAAGAGAAAGAGAGGATCCCGCACCTTCGTGGGATGGGACGCGACGCATTCATTCGCATGGGCCGAAAGCAAGGCATCGGTGTCGACCAGAGCGGAGAGGGGCGCGGTGACTTCCTTCTCTCTGCCCGTAAAGATATTACTCGAGCATCATCAAACAAAATTCCCAAACGATGTGATGATGATAAGCATTTCCTGAATTCGAGTACGAGAACAGAGTGTTGATGAAAGGTTCGATCTTCCTGAGGAAGCACAGGCTAGTTTAGCTGGAGCCAGGTATCAATTTGTCGGACTTACGTAGATTGTCCTACATATTTAGAACAACATTTTATGAAAGATCTACTCCGACAACCTCCAGATGTAGAATTCAGATTGCAACTTCTGTCGCTCATTGCATTGGCTCAGACTTCAGAATTGAGCAGTAGATGAACTAAAACAGCATAGAAGGCATTTATCACAGACCGATTCGATTCTCTTGCTCCTCTTTCTTTCGAGCGCTCGCTGACAACCCGAGGGCTTGAAAGAAAGGTAACACTGGGAGGAAACCTACAGTTTGACTTCATGTCATTGGTTCCGTTATATTCGAAAGAGTTTAAAAGATCCATTTTAATTCTTATAATTTTGATCATTTAAATTATTATAATTTATTCGTGTTAAAATAACATCTATATTTTTAAAAATATAGTATTTTTTAAATGACATACTAACTCACTATAAATTATTAATATAATGATATATATATATATTTTTTAAGTTAAAAAAAGATTAAGTTTTATTTCACTCGTATAGTTTTTGTCATTGATCATTCAAGTCTTTATGGTTTCCTCGTCCCTCATTCTCCTCTTGGGCATCTTCGTCCCCATCGCTTCTCACTTTGTCCTCTCTTGTGCCTAACTTTCCCTCATCTCCGTCTCCGATCTTTTCTACCTTTGCCTCTTCTCCTTTGTCCATCGTTACGACCTCCACCACTTTCTCTTCCTTGACAAGATGGACCTTAACCCTTTTTTAAACTTAAATTATATATATCATTATATTAATGATTTATTATAAAGTCAGCATGTCACGTAAATAAACTTTAACATCTGTTAATTCAAACTTGACGGGAGGAGCTTATATGCTATATTTTTTAAAATGTATAGATTATTTTAGACATGAGTAAACTATAAAGGTTTAAGTGATCCATAGTTAAAACTACAATGGCTAAAATAAACCTTAATCTTTTTTTAAATTTAAATTATATATATCGTTATATTAATAGTTTATTATGAGTCAACATGCTACGTAAATAGACTCTAACATCCATTAACTCAGACTTGATAAAAGAGGCTTATATGCTATATTTTTTAAAATGTATGAGTTATTCTAAACATAAGTAAACTATAAGGGCTTAAGTACTCTGATCAAAACTATAGAGGTTAAAATGAACTTTAAACTATATTATAAATGCATGATTGTACTAAAAAGCTTTAGAAACCTTAACATCTACGGTGCAACTCAAAATCTAATATTTAAAATAATGTCAAAGCAATGGATACTTTTTATAAGATTGGTGTTTCTTGAATTATTTTAGCTTGGGATTAGTCTCTAATATGCTTTCGCAAGTGAGAAAATAAGCTTATTATATTTAGTATTAGATTATGTGTATATGATTAGATTTTAATTATAGTTATCGATCAAATGAAAGAAATTTTAATTACGGTAAGATTTTTTAGGAGATAAACTTGATCAAAGGAACTCTCCTGATTATCTATTCTAGACCCTCTACTATAGTTTATAAATAGATATGACCTCCTAGAGACTATATATAAATATTTGAAAATACAGATAAGAGATGACGAAGATACATAATATTATTGAGATATTATAAATATTTTCTTATTTTACCTTAGTTACACGAATCATTGAGAAATTATAGATTTTTTTTTTTGTTCCTAAATCTATCACTCATAATGATTTTGTGAATGATAAGAATAGACGAGAAGACAAGTCTAGTTCTCTTTGTAGATCGACATTGTTATAACTTTAGATAATGACACACTCATAGATCATATAAATTTTTTTTGAATAACATTAAAAGGTACGTATGCTAAGTTTGATATATTATTATTTGATTTTAAATTTTAATATTAAAAATTTTCACCTAACAAAAGTATAAGGATGGTTTTTATGGTATCATTTAAATCTTTTACAAAATTCATGTATATATGTTTTGACCACCTTCTTCTGTCGAATGAAAAACTAAGAAAAGAAAACAGTGAGGAACTTGAATTATGTTTTACTGATCAAGCTGAAACTACATGAACACCAGTGAAGAGTACAAACCAAGATAATAGATGTTGCATATACGTAGAACGAGTTTCTGCTAATAGCTGTTCATGATTGGTGTTTGGGAATAGATTCCCATGAAAAAACTTATAAATCAGCACATAAATATTTATGATCGACAGTACCACCAAAATGGAATTGGAAGTGAGATTTAGATTATCAACACCCAAAACCACTCTCACATCAGTCAATATCAAATTAATATATGACTCCAATGAAGTTGCTCTGTGCTTTCCTTTCTCTCAATAGTTCATCTTTTATATCCACTTAATGGTCTGGAATCAACTAAAGAAAATTTTGGACTGTTCATCGAGGTTCAATGCGGAAGAAAGAGAAATGATTTCTTATTTTTCTTATGAATCGGTCCACACTATGAATTAGTCAAGTTACAATATTTCTACATTATGTTATAATATGTTCAGCAATACCTAAAAAACATATAAAAATATTATATCATATTTCTACTCTGTTATAGTATTTTTGTAGTGTTGTTGAAAACAAAAACACTGTTTTTTTTACTGTGTTATAGTTTTTCCTTGTATTGCTAAAAACAAAAACACTATGAATATCAACATAATGTTTTTACAAAAAATATTTCTTAGATTTGTCTAATATTCTTAGATTAGTAATTGTTGAATTGATTCTTTTTTAATATTCTTAGATTGGTCATTAAACACTATGCTTTTTTATTATGGGCGAATTAGCAGAAAAAGCTTTTTTTTGGGGGGGTTTAATTACAGTTTATACACCTGCAATTAAATTTACACAAATTATTAGCATTATGTCGTCGTCATTATCAATCTAATATTCTCTAGATGTTGACGTTGTGACGAATTATAACTGCGCTGTGACTGGAAGCCGCTAGTGGCCCCCACGAGTGGCCCCATTTGTTCTCCAATGACCGTCCAGGTTCGATGTGATGCGTAACGTCTTGCTTGACCAACTAGTGGTCCCCGCTGTAGTTCCCAATTGGGTTTGGGCTGTGTCCAATTAGCGTCAAAGTCGGTCCACTACCCGATTTAAGACGGCTTAGCGCCCCTCATCGGAAGGCGTTCTTTTATCCTTGGCTGGTCGCCTCGCATCTCTTGGTACGATTAGGGTTTGCTACGGTCGTCTGTTCTGGTCTTCTTTTCCTTCAGTTAGGGTTCTTCTTTACAGCGTTCGATGTCGAATCTGATGTTCGAGTACCTTTGTTGATCGGTTTGGTTCTTGCTTCTTATAAATATACCTTGCACGCAGATTTGCTTCCTTCGTGATCGGTTCGGAACGATGAGGCCTGTTTTCGTTGGAAATCTGGAGAGCGATACTCGCCATTCCGATCTCGATCGGCTTTTCTCCAAGTATGGAAGGGTAGATCGCATCGACATGAAGTCTGGTAGATTCCTCCCCTTCTCTTTTTCCTTTCTTCTCGTTTGGTTTTGCTCACGTTCAATAGCCGGAAGGGCTTAAGTGGCTGCCTCCCTCTTTTGTGGAGTTTTGTCTCAAGTAACCTTCTTGGAGAGAAACGGTGTTAACCATGGTTGGTTTTTATTTTATGGTGTTAGTCTGTGATGTTAGGAGATTTGGTTAATCTTTTTGGGTGCTCCTATAGAACCTTTTTAGCAGAGGAGCATTGTGGTTTATGAGGTTCCTGGAAAGATTAAAAGAAAGCCTATCTTAGGGTATAAATTTTGTAGACGTGACTAACCATTTTCTTTCTTTGGGAGAAGCTGCTGGTTTTCTTAAAAGTATACATGCCATTCTTGTTGCTCCACATGGAAAGTAGATGACAGTTTAAAACACAGTTGCTGCAACATAGTTTGTTCTTTTATTATTAATCTGCTTGGAGTCGGAGCTCGTAGTTGTCGAATAAATTAAACAATCCCAAGAGATTATTGCTTTTTTTTTTCTTGTCTAATCGGGTATCAGGTGAAAAGCTCAAGTGTCACCATCTAAGTTTAAGTTCATGCACATGTTTTCATAAAATAACCATTTTAACATAATCTTATGGTAGAAGAATGCGCATTTAACTGACAAATATATGATAATACAGGTGTTGCTGTCGTACAGCAGTGTTTCTTAGATATCATTAGATAATCTAACCGAAGCAATATATGCACATATAAATTACAAGATCATATAATTCTTATCTGTTGATTACCTTTAGTTTAGATAATAAGCTTTTAAGGTTATAGGTGAGTCACTGTTTTTTAACAATGTAGATAATTGACAGGGCACAAGCAAAATTAAGTATATCGTAAAAAGGGATCCCTGTGTAGCTTTGATGAGTTTTGGTTCTGGAGGACAATTGCAATGTTAATAACCTTACATTATCAATTTTAACAAAATATTCTAAACACGGTATTCTTCATTACTTTGTTAAACATACCAAATATATTGCTGGAGGTTGCTTTGATATCTTTCCAGAATGCACAAAGATAAGATGTTTCAAAAGTTTAACAAAAATGCTCTTAAATTGCATCCACTCACAGCATGGGTTGCTTTACATGTCACATCACAGAGTGTTTTGTCTTGAGAAGACCAGAACTGTAATACCTCTGTGAAGAATGCCTATATTTAAAAGTTTGCTTTGATGCAGGAACTACTAAGGACGCCGAGCTCTTTCTAGGCTCTCCAAGTTCCATGCAAAAACCATCCATGTCAAAGGAAACCTTTCTTTCAGAACATCAACTCCTCCATTATGCAACCGCCACTCTTCATTTGCATCAAACAAACACATGTTAGGATCTGCTTTGCTTAAAGTTGTTGCCCAAGCTTGATTGTTGAAGAATCGTACCATCATGCCATGCCTTCAGATCATATCATCATGCCATGCCTTCAGATTGTATCATCATGCCATGCCCTCAGATATCATCATTACATGCCAATTGAACGCTTGCTCTATTCGGGGGAAGCATATTCAGCAATGACTTCTTACCTTGGTTTTACATATACGAAATCATGTTTTAGTTGCCATCATATCAGATCTCCATTTTTCACATTCTTAAGGTTCATCAGACCTACAGATAAATGCAGGTGTAGTATTTCTGATATTTCTTGCTTTCCTCAAGCTTAAGAAATCAGTTTTGCATGTGATACTGTTAAGAGAAAAATGAAAATGTACCAACGAAATTTTATTGCTCTCAATATAATTATATTTGTCTTTGGCAGGATATGCTTTTGTTTATTTTGAGGATGAGCGTGATGCTGAAGATGCCATTCATAGGCTTGATGGTATACCTTTTGGTTATAGTAGACGCAGGCTGTCAGTCGAGTGGTCAAAGGTAATATGCTTTCTGACTAAAATTTTCTGTATACAACCATAATATATTTATAATGCAGTTGAATAGATGTATTATCTGCTGATGTTTCAGGATCATGATTTGATCATGAATCTCTTAAGGGACTTCATAGGATCATAAACAAAGGTTGCATCATACATCAAAGATTTATAGATTTGATGTGTGTGTGTGTGTGTGTGTATGTATGTATATATATATATATATATATATATATATATATATATATATATATATATACATGCGCATATGACAATTGATGGATACCTGAAAAGCATCAACCAGCATATTATTTTATTTTTCAAGGTCTTGTGGCACTATTATGAAGCTGACTGGGTTGTTTGTCATGCCTCACTAAATGAAAAAGATGGTCAAATTCTGGTTGAGTCAAAAATTCACCAAAGGATTGTCCCAGGCACAAGGCTCCCATTAATACCCTGCTTTGGCAAGGGTTTCGATGTACCTAAATTTTTTGTTCCCGTGTTATGAGTCAGACAGATATTGGTTTTGATCCAGAAAGTACAATTTATGCTATGAGCTGACTGACCCTGACAACTTTGGTGTCTTCAAAATTTTCATATTATCTCACCCTAACCTGTGCTGATCTGTTGTTGTACTGGTCTAATTTTTCAGCAGGGAGGGCGTGGACCAAGGGATCGTGATGGTTCCAGGCCAGCAGCAAACACGAGGCCTACTCGAACTCTTTTTGTTATCAATTTTGACCCAATTCATACAAGGGTCAGGGACATTGAAAGGCATTTCGAATCTTATGGGAAGATTTTAAATGTTCGGATCAGAAGGAACTTTGCATTTGTTCAGTTTGAAACCCAGGAGGAAGCCACAAAAGCCCTTGAATGCACCAACCTTAGGTTCGTTCTTTCTGCTCTGATCTTTTATGCCCTAAATTTTTTTCCACCAGTTTCGTGTGAATTGATATCTATGACTATGGTTTCCCTCGTCATCCTTAGTAGTAAAATTAGCATGATGTGTATGGTATTCATGGATGTTTGCCCAGTTTTTATCTGCATATGTAAATGATATTGCAGGGACTGCTAATTCATATTGCAGTGACTGCTGCAAATATGTCTTCACTTGATCATGATACTTTACATGCAATTTCAAACATGGTAAATATGTTTTCCTCAGTGTTGATGTTTCCTAGTGTTCTCATAATCATTAGTTGGAGAATCTTAGCCTTTTATTTTAGAAGTGCATTACGAACATATTGTTATGAATGATTTTTTAATCAAACCTTGTTCTCTCTTTCCTTAATTTATTAAACATATCTCCTATAATTCTGAATTTTGTGTTAATGCTTCATTCATGTACCATGTACTAGCAAACAATCAACTTTGCAATGCATCAGAATTCAGGATGAAGTTAACAGAGTGCAGTTAAATGAAATTAAAAAATAACTCAGCCACCCATTTAAGAACTTTAGTTTTCCCTGTTAAAATCACAATAAGTTGTTGTCATTTGCGGCTGGGAGCTGCTGCAAAAAAAGGAGGGGCCGAGTTGCTAATTTCTTGCAGCTTCTTTAACTGAAATATGCATTTTTGCAGGATTGTGCTGACTATATCCTTTTTTTTTAACCTTTTGGTTTGGCAGCAAGATATTGGATAGGATGGTAACAGTTGAGTACGCCTTTAGGGATGATGATGATGGTGATCATGGTGACGTGCGTGATAGCCGAGGTGGTTATGGGAAGCAGGACGATAGGGCATATGGACGCTCTGACAGCCCAGGATACCGAAGGGATCGACCTAGTCCTGATTATGGACGTGCAAGGAGTCCTGTCTATGACCGATACAATGGTCCTTCGCATGATAGGAGTCCGGAGTATGGTCGTTATCGAAGGTGAGGACCACAAATCGTTGAGATATGAAGTGTTTGTAGTCGGAGGCATTTGAGATTGACATTTATGGCATATTGATAAGAGTATCTCAAGCTTTTTATTCTGTAGGTTGTTTTTAAAATTCCACAGTGACATATTTCCATTGCTCAACTTGTTGATCTCATCTGCTTTTCTGGATCACAGCCGCTCTCCTCCTGGTCGAAGATCGAGGACTTGAAGATCATGCAGGGGATGTGAATGAAGAAATTTTGTGCTGGTTCTGTTGTTGATTGCACTTGTCGTTTTTAGACATCCTGAATATTATGCATATGATACTGCTTAGAATGTCATGGCTAGATATTAGTTTCTTTACTTAAAATCTGATGATTGTTATGTTGGGTGACTCTTTGCTGGCAACTTGTTCAGTGTATTAGCTGTTTTAACCTCTTGGAATGCTGGTAGCATTTATATTTACCCGTTTAATTCCTGTTATGAAGAGCTGCTAGGAACACTCGAATACAAGCCTAGTGTTGTTGTGGTTGGATAACCACGATGTGGTTGTGATGGAATGTGCTGGATAACCACGATGTAACTAACGATGAGGATTGTAACCATGGAACCAAAGCAATTGGACGGAGGCCATTGTCCAGTTTTTTCCTCTGCCCTTTATGGATGTTCTAGTGAGCATGATTTGCTCATACATCTGGGTTCAGTTTCCCTGGTGTTTGGTTCAATTCAAAACGTTGGAGTTGCCTTTGAGTGTGGACGGTGTTTGTGGTGTGTGTTTTTAAAAATCACGAGTACAACTACCTCGGTATTTTAATTTTATATTGTATAATAAATAATTATGCTTAAGATTTAGTAGGAAATAAATGTGATACTTAAAGATTTCTATATGGATTTGAATCCGACCCTTTATTGTATTGCTTTTATGGTTCATCTTTGTATTTTATAGTGGTGTCTTGTCATACGAGTCTTGGCGCTTGAGGTGTCTTTTTGGCTCTGGTGGCTTTTTTTCCTGCACAGCTAAAGTGTTAATTTAGCTGTGCAGGAAAAAAGAGTTAATAACAAAACTAGGAAAATTTCAAGTTGCATCTTATTGTTGCTTCAGGGGAAAAAAAGAAAAAGAAGAAAGAAAAAAAAAATCGACTGTTCTTTCTGAAAGAAAGGAGGTAATCAAACAGCAAAATCATTGCACAGTATTGTCATCAGTGATACGAAATTATAGACCATTTTATTGCGTCGCATGTTTTCCATCAAATAGGAGAAATCTACATTGATTGTCGAAGAGGTGCTGCAGCCTTTTACAGCATCCGATCGATGATCAGCATCTAACCACGTTTATTAACGCAGATTTATGATCTCCAACATCTTCCAACAATCACGCCGTGGGTCTCAACACCTCCCTCTCGATCGCCTTCTCCAGCCACGCCTCGGCGTCCGCCATCATCTCCGGGCTCAGCCTCACCATCAGCACGCAGAACTCCTTCTCGTCGAGCGCCCCGTCTCCGTCCATGTCCCCTTCCCTCACCATCGCCGCCGCATCCTCCGCCGTCATCCCCGCCATCCCCAGCGCCGCCGCGTTCCTCCTCAGGCTCTCCGGCGTTATGACCCCCCTCCCGGGCTCCGCCAGCAACCGGAAGCCCCCGCACAGCTCCGACACGAACTGCTCCGCTTCCAGCCTCTCGGCCATCACCGGCAGCAAGTCCTCGTACTCCTCCGACTCCGTCGCAGCTGCGTGCTTCTCTTCCTCCATCGCCAGACCTTCCAAGTCTCTCTGTTGATGCTGCAGAGATGGTTTAGGCGTCGATCGAGGGTACAACTTGTCTTCTATCGGCTTCTTCGGCCAGGCTGCAAAGGTGTGGGGCCGAAGCCGGACGTGCCGACCGCGTCACGCGCCATTCGCGTTTGCTGTCCTTGTCGTCGTGGAGGTTTCAAATGGGCGCTTTCTCCGAAGCTTCGTCGTCGCTTCGGAGGATTCGGCATCGCCTGTGCTGTGAGCTGCGAGCGACTTCTTCTGGGGCAGGTTTCATGCGGTCGCCACGCGTGAAGGATGCGATCGTTCGATCCCGTGACGACGGGACGGGGCCAATTTTAGCAGAGAATTTGACTCTCGACCTAATTGTCGGCCAATCAACACGGTGTTGAAAAGTCAAACCGTGCAACCGTCAGCCTCAAGCGGCCGCTCCACTTCCACGTTCAGTGCACTGTTGTTCATTCTGCTCTCAGTTTGGTCTCCAATATCTTTGTTGGATGGAAAGAATCAAAAAAAAAAAAAAAAGAAGTGATTTCACGGGAAAAGTCTTTCTCTCCGAAACTTTTCCCGAAGATATTACCTTAAATATCAATGATCGTCAATGCCCTTTTTTTTTCTCTTTTTCAAGTAGATGGTGAGGTCAAATGAACATTCAAAATAATTTATATTGTTTATCAAGTGTTTACTAAAATAACTATTCGTAAGATATCGAGTTAAATATTTTTTTTAATTTATTTTTTCTTTTTAAGTTTTTGAAAGATTATAAAAGATTTCGGAAAGACTAATCTTTTATGAATTAAGATTCTGCATGACTTAGATAAAACTAGTTAAGTCCATAATAAATGGTACCAGAATTGTCTTGATTCGTAGCATAATTATATAAGCACTTGTGAGGACTTATGCTCATAACGGACCACCTTTGATCGTTTGTCATATAACCATTTAGAGTTTATGAAATTCATGTTTGTAATTTGTATTATCTATCTAGTGTTTAACAAAAAATGATTATTTATAGTAACCCAAGTTAAACATTTTCATTAACCTATATTTTCTTAAGGGATCATAAGAAGATGGTTTGGGGAAACTAATCCTTTGCAAACAAATTTATAAAGGGATGTACGACTTAAACAAAATCAACTAAGTTTATGATAAGGAGGTGACGATGCCCATTGGAAGGAAATGACGGAGATATTTAGAGGGAAAAAAAAAAGACACGAAATGAGAAATTTTGTTTTCAATGCCTTGAAATCACCCAATGAAAAAAACTAAATATCATAGAGTTCATATATTAATTAAATTTTGTTTTCTATTCTTTTCGTCTCTTTAATTCAACTGCTTAAGCTTTTTAGGATTTATGATCATCTAACCATAATCTTATCACAACATCATCTATTTCTTCTATCTAAATTATTAGATTTAGCGGGGATTTGGCCATTACAACTTGTTGGATAGAGAGAAGTGCGTGGATGGCACTATCGAGGAAGTTGAATGGTTTGGTGAGATTTGAATCGAGAAGAAAAGATAGAATAAGATTAAAATTTTCAAGAAATTGCTATAGAATCTCTCTTTTCCTGTCTTTGTTTATCAGCTCAAGAGAAGAGAAGGTGCTTCACTTTATTGGGTTGATTCCACCAGAATGCAGATAATTCTAGTATGCACTGTTGGTCAATAAGACACCATGATGGATCAGCTGATAATACCACCACTAAATCTACTGAATTAGAAAAAAAGTTTTACAAGATCATTAGATAACCTTCAAAATAAAATTCTTTGAATTCTAATTCACAAACTAATGAAAGAAAAGCAAAAGTACTCGAAGGAAACTTCATAGCAAACATCTGAAATAGATGTAGCAATTCATTGGAGGGTTCAATAGTAAGTAAGTTGGATACAAACCTGCAGGCAAAGCTGTAATTTGGTACCTTATGTTCAAAGACCAGAATGGTATAGTCTCTTTGATCTAATGAACAAACTGGAATACAAATTTACAACACCCATATAAATTTTAATACAAAAAAAGGATGAAAAAAAAGCCCTCTTGTCTTGACAATGTCATAATCAGGATGAAGACTATATAATTACAGCTCAGCTCCGTAATAATTTTCTTTTGGCTTAGCAGCCACACCCAATCTTAGATGTTTATGAACCCTCAAGAAGATATGGAATGAAATATATTCTCTTGTTCCACATGATCTATCTAAATAGTTCTTTTTCTGACATAAAAAGGCATCACAAAATTATGCATGTCACTAATGATGGCAGAAGCAGTTCTAACAGTGTCAGTAGGCGCAAATGAAAATTAAATGTGTGATGCTAGTTTGGTTACTTCCACAGGGATGGCAAAAGCAGGAAGGACAACATAAGGTCTATACAAGTCTTTGCTTCAGGTTCGGGTCAACCCCTCGATTAATAGATGTCATGATAGTCATAGAAAGACTAGTTTGCAATAATTCATGGAAGATGATATCTCAACATAGTCGTAGGCTGAAAGATGAATTGTGCAAATAAGAAACAAATGTGTCTGGATTCTATATTGTCCAAAAAAAAAATCAGATTTGAAGCAAAAGAATAACAAAACACACGGCAAATTGTAAGTCCATGGAGTCCAACCATATGCAACCACATCATAAAAAATCACAGACTAACACTAAATGTTGCCATAAGTTCCTTGGACAAGGTATCCATCATATTCCATAGGAAAACCCCTACCAAAATAGAAAAAGATTAAGTTTGAGATAAATAGGAAGAGTAGGATACAATTAACCACCACTCTTCCTTGCAAACCATCTCTTCCTAGCATTCTCCATTGCCTCCTCTCGCATCCTTGATAGCTCATAAAAACAACGTTGGTATTGAGCTTCAATCAAATCAAGCTCCGCCCTCAATTCACATTGATCTTTATCCGTCAGGGACAGTGAAGAAGAGGCCTTCAATAGATACGAACTACTATGATGTTCACCTACATGATATATAGAAGGTTCCAAATTATTCACATTGCCACTCAAAGGAAGTTCCTCAGCAATTTCCCCAACACCTCTATCTCCTTTAGAATCAACATCAGTAGTATATTCACTTAAGCTTTTTGTAATTCCAGAAACAACTGAATTAGCTGACATATGAGAACCTTTATCTGCTCCATCAACCCCACTCCATAATAAATTACAACCAGCAGTTGCCATTGCCTCATACATCTTCTTGTATGATATTCCATCATCAACTTCTGCAAGTTGTCCTGAGATTCCCAAGTTTAACTGAGATAACTCAGCATGGTCATAGCTTCTCCCAGAGTCAGCACTCGACTTTAGTGTATTTGAAGGACACTCAGAGTGAAGTTCATTATTGTCATAAGCATCATACCGCTTGCATGGGCTGATGTTCTCACTAGAAGAATGATTGGTAGAAGGTATCCAACCAGGTACGAATTTCATGATCAAAAAATCAATAAAATCAGCTATGAAGACAACATCATAATCAGACAGATCTAGCTGCTCCACCATTTCTGCAGCCACTGCAAGTGCTGTGTCCGAATCCAAGTAAAAGAGGAAATGTATGTTCTTCACCCTACCTACAAGAATGAAGGATAACAGATGGATTAACAATTTTACAAAAACTCAAAAAAAATCACCAATACCTTTGTTTACGTACCATATGTGTCTGCAATACGCAAGATTAATGAGACAGAATTGTCATCAATTTTCTCTCCTTTCAATTTAAATTCGTTATTTCGATTTGTTCTTTGGAACTCCAGCGCCGGGGTAAGTGCTGTTAGATTAAAGTTCTCAGTGCAAGTACTAGTTGGAATTGACTTGTAATCAGAATCAATTTCCATAGATAGAGGCCTTGAAATTGGATTATCCATATTCTGTATATTGTTGGGCACATGAATAGGATCTGTAGGAGGTTCCTTTGTGCTATTTATTTGAAGAAATGGATCTTTCAAGAGCTCCTTGGCAGGCAATCTCTTAGCAGCAGAAACCAAGCACTTCTCAATAAACTGCCGTGCTTGAGGATCTTTTACTTTAGCAAGTGCAGCAGGTTTTATTCCCTACAATATTACATATGCAATGATTCTTGATCAAACAAAAAGTGCTTGTAAATTTTTTAATAACTCATTGGGCATACATGCCTAATATAGTTAGCAACTTACAGATGTGACTTTCTTATAAATCTGAGCTGGATTTTTGCATTCACTGTATGGGTATTCAAGTGTAATCATCTCCAACATGCACATTCCAAAAGAATAAATGTCAACTAATTCATCATACTCCTCCTCATAAAGCTCTGGGGCCATAAACTCAGGGGTACCTACAGGTATTAACACACAGTAATTACTTACCCTAAGAAAACAAATATATGGAAAAAAAATCAAATACATTTCCTGAAACAAGTTATAAATTCAAAGAAAAAACTAGTACATGGCACTTAACACATTGGGCTGGTGGTCATAATACCAGATGTACTTACCAAAGATTGAGGGTTCGAAACTGATCCTTTGTAATAAAAACTAGAGCATGGGTAATAGAAAGATAAATACAAAGGCATTAGTTGCTTAGTTACTATGAAAGTGCCAATAGGCAACGCTAATATAGATCATCATCAAGATAAATTCTCCATTAAACCCTAATGATAAATATGTCGATAATGCAACCAAAAGTCTACAAATTGTTTATCGATGCGCTTTCAGATAGTCTAAGATTTTTATAGGTATTAATACGCATTATTTAAGTACCCTAAGAAGACAAATATATGCATAAAACCAAATGCAGTTGCTGAAACAAGTTATAAATGGAAAGTAAAATACTAAATCACGGGCAAAAAGAAAAAAACAACAAAGCCATAAGTTGCTTAGCTACTATGAAAATGCTAATCGGCAATACTTATATAGGTCATCATCAAGACAAATTCTCCATTAAATCCTAATGACGAATATGTCAATAATGAGACCAAAAATCTATGAATTGTTTCCCAACACGCTTTCGAGTAGTTTAAGATTTTTCTAATTGTTGTGCACAGAATACGAACAGGTGCAGTTTCATTCTTTAGCACAAAAGGATAAAAAAATCAAACCATTTTTCTTACCAATAACACTTCGAGCTCTAGGTTGTTGCATGACAATTGCCAACCCAAGATCGCCGATTTTAACTTCTCCATGATTGCCATTCACGAAGATGTTATCACATTTCAGATCTCGATGAAGAATAGGAGGCTTGTGATTGTGAAGATACTCCAAACCTCGAAGAATTTGCCTTGCCCAGCTTTTGATTGCCTTCATGTCAACATGCTTATGCTTCTTACGATATCTACAAGTTTAAAACAAAAAATGACTTACAAAAGTTTCTTTTCCGAAGAATCCAAGCATCTGATAGAATGACCAGAAAACCTACTGCCTTAGACTTCCGGAAGTGAAAAGCTCGGTAATGATGTTTATGGTCTTATTTTGATGATCAACCCATGAATCATAAAATTTGATGATATTCTCATGCATTAAGGACTTGAGCAGATAAACTTCAGAATACAACCGTTCCAGGTTGTCTGGAGATTGCAACACTTCATCGAGGCACACCTGGTTCCATGCAACTTCTATCCCATCAATCTCATCAAATGCTTTATACCTACACAGCACCAGGAGAACATAAATGTGCAAAATTCAGAGACATTTATCATGCTTAAACTTTTCCAAGTGCAACAAACCAAGCAAATTATAAATGGAAACAGGTTTAGTATTTTGAGACATACACAGTCTTGAACGCTCCTCTCCCCAAAATCTCTTTATACTGCAGTGCCAGACAAAGAGGAAACCAATAAATTAATAAAAATTATAAGTCGGAAGAGATCAACCGAAATAGTAATCAGTTTACAATAATAAGGAAAAACAAAGGTCTCAAGTATCTACAATCAGCTCGTATGGTGAAAAAAAGACATCTTACTTGAGGTAAATAATTGTACGACCAATATAACACATGGCGTCAAACACAATGAACTCACACGAATATAGCGTCCGTTGGGATTAACCTCCACGCACTCGGCATCCAACGTGCCGCCACCAACGCCTCGGACCCCAAGTTCTAACGGGAATCCATTGATGGATGCCGGTCCCATTTGTAACGACGACGACGACGACGACGACGGCGAGAACAAAAACAGCAAAGGAAAAAAGAAGGAAGGGAAGGAAAGAGAAAAGGAACTATCTTAGGCGCCTTGAGGAGATCCGACAGAGACAGTAGCAGCCTTCTCAGAAAACGCCTCGGACGCGACGGAGAAGGAGTCAGAGGCAGATCGCAGGCGGCACCTGCAAGCCACGGCGGGGGTCTCCGCGAAGCCCAGATCCATCACCCCGCTCCCGCTAGAAGATCGGCGCCGGCCCCTCATTCTCCAGCGACAGCTCCCGGTGCCCGCCGATTGCTCGTGGTCTCCATCCCCCGATCGCGAAGGGGTCAAGCCCCTACGAGGCGGGTCGGAGCAGGAGGGCGGCCCACACCACCATCACAGGGATCGGATCGACAAGGCGCGGGGCAGGAGCCGGATTCACGGGAAACGGCGAGGGGAGAAGAGAACAAAAACCCTAACTCGATCAGGGGCAGGAGAAGGCGGGCGGAAAGGATAGAAACGGCGAAGCGGGAGGCGGACCGAAAGAGAAGGGAAGATCTAACAGGTGTTGGGTAGAATTGCCGAACCTTTTCTCCCTTCCTATTTCTTAGTTTCGGATAATTAAAGAGATCCCTCTCCGGTGGCCGTTTAATTGCGGGAAACGACCTCTCCCTCCCTCCCTCCCTCTTTTAGCTACCGGCGATACAATAGGAAGGCCGTCTTCCGAATAATATTATATATATTTTTATGTTTTATTTAAGTCGATCAAACTCGATCAACCATCAAATAAGAATTATTTGACGACCCAAAAAAATCTAAATAAATATGGTTTTCTATGCACTCGCTGTATGCGGTGCATGTGAAAGAAGAAAGAGAATTAATGATGGCAAAGTGAGAAAGAAGAATTAATACATGGCAAGAGATCGTTTCCAAACCATTTCCCCATCGCTTCTTAATTGTGCTCCAAATCCGAACAATTTAGACTCCATCAACAATTTGTTACTCGATCATTAACAATATTTTGAAATCATTCCAAATTATTTGTGTGTAGTTTTTTCCTCCTCCGTACCTACTTTTCAACATAAGAATGAATGTGTGTTCGAATGTGGTGCATAAAGTTAATTAATATAGTTAAAATTAGGATATGAATAAGAAATCATTTTATCGAAAGTTGTTGAATCCACTACAATCTTATATTAAGGTTGCTATTTGTTAGATCTATTATTAGATCAACTCAACTTGACACTGGTTGATTCGAGCTTAATTGTGATGATTATTGGAATCATCTCGAGGATGGAGCTCTGATTTGGTTATCAGAGAGGATCTGATGATTTTGTGTATTTTGATTGATTATAGATATTTCAAAAATAGAAATATGCTATGTTGTGAAGCCATTGCAATTTTGGAAGGGCTTAAGGCTGTCGAGCACAAGAAAATTCAACACATTGGTTTGGAAACAAACACGCAAATCTTTCTTGGTCATCTACTTGGGAAAGAAAGAATCTTCTCTACTATGGAGCATATATTAAACATGCAATATGAGATATTGCATGTTTAACGTGAAGACAATAAGATTGTTAATTGCCTAACAACCATTGTTCATTGGAAGAATATGTCAACGAATGACCAATACACAGCATAACGATGCAACTTTAGAATCTAATAATGTTTCCATTTTGTTAAGGCCCACTTGCTCTTCTTATACAGAGGAAGATGTAAGAGGTATAATTAAAATTAAGTAGAGGAGGAGTTATGCTTTGTGTAGAATAGGATAATGTCAAACAAAGCTTTAGAATGTGATGCGTTCATTTGTTTAAGTAAAGCGAGCCCCCACTGGCCAACATGCGGTCTTCAAGTCTATAGTACGAAAGCCACATAAGAGTGAGTGTCTTGAGATGGATTTTTGGGAAGCCTTCACGATTATGAACAAAAATAATATATCTCCCTCGAGAGTTAAGTTCTCTTTTTGTATTTATTCTTTTAAGTTTTCGATTAAGGTATTAAAGTATTTAAATTTTAATATTAGCATAAATATTGGTAACCATGATTAATAGCAATTAGCAAACCAAGTGAGTCATTTTTTTTTATTCGACTCGATTAAAGTAAAGATACTCTAAACCAAAATCGATTTGGACTTACCTAATCGAACCAATTCAAAACCAATTAATCCATCAATATTTTTAAATGAACGATTCGATTCAATTGAATGGAATAAAATCTAGATCCAATTGAGTCAACATAATAAGATTCGTAAAACTAAGTCCAGAAAATTTAGGATAGTAAACTCAATTGAACTATAAAATTTTAAACTAAATTCGATTTGATTCGAATTCCAATTCCATTTTTCGAACACCCATAGTGTTAAAGATTTTATGCACAGATAAAACATTTAATATAATATACTATCAAATTTTGAAGAGGCATATGCTTTTATGTAAAAAATTAATGTACATCTAAAAACCATTATATGTTAATTTATTGCGACTCAACCACTAAGCTAGATGTAATACACAGCCATATGTTTCTTACACTCTTCAGCCAATTCCCCAAGTCGATAAAGAAAATGACTGCTGCGGTTTATTAGACCTCCTATAAAGTACATAGCGCAAACAGCTAAATGAAGTCAAACACACGGCCTAACAATCAACATTATTGTACTGACCATGAACTGTAGAATCCTAATTATCATCATGAAGGAAAGGAAAAGGATCATAATAAAGGAGAAGAATTTGAGATGAATGGAGAACATCGAATCATGTTCAACAAAACACAGATGACCTTCCCTCGCGCTCTTTTCCCCTTCGTTCAGAAGCAAAGGTAGTATCTACAAGAAGCATGTAAGTACTCAAAAGGCCTGACCTCATGACTAATTCTCATGAGTCGATCTCAACGAAGAGGCTTGCCTGTGGATGCAGACCTGCTTCCTTCAGCGTCAACGAATGCTTTTCTGACCCATAGGAAACACGGGGAAAGTTCGAAACCAGCGTGCAGTTTTCAGCTTTCAAGCACCCCAGCGAATCGACATAGTCATATAAAGAGCTAACTGTTGCTGAGCTATTGAACCTCCTTTCCTTGCGCTCTCCGGTTGGGAATCGAACGAGGACCTAATTTTAAATCCAACATCAACATCATAATTTTAACATTAAAATAACTTGATATGGACAGTTCATAGTAATTCATGGACGCGCATGCAGAAAGTTGGAATATAAGATTGGCAGCAGCATTTGATTTATAAGGAAATCAAGATTCTAGTTCAACATAGTTGACTCAAAATTCCAAAGAAACTATTTTCAAAAACAAAAAGAGGTTCAAAACAAACTACGAAAGAGGATCCAGAAGATCCTCCAGGCAACGCAATAAAAAAATTAAAATAATGGAAGTTGAGTGCATGGATCAACGTATTGGTATGCAATGTACTTGGTAGTACAATATACCATGTATCACTCCAAGCCATAGCTGAGAACATACAACAATAGCATGCCATACTCATTAGATGCAATAACAATCATTTGTGTTCAACATATAATACAACTTTACGGTGTCAAAAAACAAAAAAAAGAATATTCATGGTATTTGATAAGCTTTGCAAATGAAATTAGAAGCTTAACCTCCTCAAACAAAAAAATTAGGTCGTGTATAAGAGACAATATAGAGACAATGGTCTATCTCTCTGCTGCCAAAATCATTAAATAAAAAAAGTAATTCAGCTAACATCAGAAAAAAAAAAAAAAAGACTGTTATATGTCCAGAGTCAGTATGCAGATTTCACTGGATATGCAAATTTTGTTATTTCAAGATCATCAACCAACAAAAAATTACAAAAAATCTACTCACCAAATTCGGTCACAGATTTTCTTGTACTAAACGATAAATAGTAAGGAGCAAGCAATGCTCTAAAATAACTCAATGATTACTTTGCTATAGATAACTGCTAGAAACCACTGACAAACAGGTACAAATGGTACAGACATTTTATACAGATAAAAGACAGCAAATTTGGGGCTTTATTATGGTCAATCAGGTTTGTAGAGAAGAACTGCTATAACATCAGGATAAGTGATTTGATGTGAATAATTAGATACTTATAGAGTATATCTAACAAAAAAATTACAAATTTCTAGACTATAGAGTCCCAGTTAGTTTACAAAATTTTAGTACTAATAAGCCTGTAAATAGCTATACTTATAATACCTCATGTACAGACTAAGGAATTTAATGGCAAACAGGGTCTAGCAATCTGTTATTTTGGTGAAAGACAAATGTTTTAGCCTTCCTCTTATCTGTGCCCCATTTTCTTTTGTAATAGGAATGCTGGATCCTTGTTTCTCTCTCGATTCAAACTTTTTTCTGAAGCTGATTTTCATTTATAATACCTCATGTACAGACTAAGGAATTTAATGGCAAACAGGGTCTAGCAATCTGTTATTTTGGTGAAAGACAAATGTTTTAGCCTTCCTCTTATCTGTGCCCCATTTTCTTTTGTAATAGGAATGTTGGATCCTTGTTTCTCTCTCGATTCAAACTTTTTTCTGAAGCTGATTTTCATTTATAGGCCTTCCCAAATCAAAATGATTGCTGAAACATGAACAAATCTCTCTCGAAGTCCTCCCAGGTCCCACTATCTGAAGCCTGTTGAACCTTGGCTGGATTGAGTCAGACTGGTGTTCAGATCAAGTCCAATATGTACTCTCTATATTGTCCTCCAATCCAGTGTTACTACCTATCACCTAACTTCCTACCAACTCCCAAAGTTCCTTAAATTTAACTCCACTAGATGCAAATACCTAATTATGTTCCCTTTTGCTGCATAGCATATTGATGTGTACACTAAAATCAATCTGTAGGTATCCTCATAAACTTTCTTTTAAAAAATACATAATTTAATTTTGACAGAACTTTTGAGGTTAACTTCTGTTCTAGAAGTTGGCCAATTTTCTCAACTTAAACCAGCAACTGTTCATGTACATTCAAACATATATTTCAATTATGCTAGAGTGAAATTTCTGTTCCAAAGTATAGATTTGTGTATGCTCCCATCAATGAAAGACTTGTTTAAATTAGTTTATAAGTTCAGATGATTGTTCAAACAAGCCCAAATAACTAAAATAGCATACAAGGTGCTTTTTGTGAGTAATATCGGTTGCATTGATCCATGCCAACTACACACACCACTTTACATTAGCAACAAACCCATACAAAAGCAATATTGAGATGCCTCATATCTAGCCTGGCATGAATAAGCATCCTTTCAAATACTTGTAAATTGCATACTAGCATTGACTGTAACCTTATCATTTAGTCGAACAATGTGAATTTTTTTTCAGAACCACCAAATATAGAATTTTCATATAGTAATACCAGGCTACCATTTTGAATATACGTATATCAAATGCTTGCAGACAAATCCACTAAATCTAGCATTAACTTCTACAGATTCCATGCATCTTGTAAAAATAATGATAACTATTAAATAAGTAATATATTCCCCTTTTTTCCTCTGAAACCTGCTACCCAATTGGTGACCTAATTTCTGAAAGATACATGGCAAAAGTAAAGCCCTTTTTTTTTATCATGGTGCATTAAACAAGAAGCACAGATACTAGCAAAGATATTACATTTTCCTTCTACACTTCCAATTTTAGGTTCTCGAGATTCCAGTCGTGTTCGATTAAGCATTATGTGAGAACCACTGGACATTTCAGTCACGTTCGACTTGAACTCATGACCATTGTGATGGTAATTATGTCAATAAGAAACATGTATAACGCAAGTAATCAATGACATCTAGCATATAATTTTGTTAGCAAAAGGAGAAAATTTCTTGAGAGCAAAACAAACTTATGATTCACAAAGACATTTGTTTTTCTCTGGTCAGCTGCAGCATATTATTATGTGCAAAAAATGACAAGAATTGTTTCAAATGATAAGTTCTGTCATAACTATTCCAGCAGTATTGGGTAACAATTTCACAAGGCATCTTACAACTAGGTCAGGACAGTATTTAACTGTCATTTTATATGACATGAGAAAGTATCACAAGTTAGCAGACAAGGTAAAGAATTAACACCATATTCAAATTCAGTTATCAAATACTTCCATGATACTTACTTGCGTAACATCAGGCCCTTTGTCAGGCTCAGGACCCAGCGATATTGCTTTCTCTTGCTGTCTTCTAGCAAGAGCAGCTTCTTTCTCAGCAGCTTCACGTGCTGCTCTTTCCAAGGCCTCTTCTTCTTCTTTACGCTTCCTTTCAGCTTCTTCAGCTTCTCTCTTTAACCTCTCTTCTTCTTCTCTCCTCTGACGCTCTCTGGCCTGGTTTAACAGAAGTTTTACAGTTTTTAGATGCGAACAAGGTTTACATTGATATCCCATTTGGTAAAACATTATTGCTTGTGAAATCTCATCACAAAGCATACTGTAACTTAGACCAAGAAAGCGGCATACTTGATCAGCTTCAAGTGCTGCTCTATATGCGGCATCTTGTTCTTCTCGCAATCGCTGATTGTTTCGCCGTTCTTCTGCATCAAGTCTTGCTACAACCAATGATGGAGCACACTCCTCTACTACACGTTGAAGGATGGTAAGCATTTCTTCTGGAGACTTGGATCCCTCGATCTGTAGAGCGTAGTATAAGGGACAACTGGAAAGTCATTAAGAAATTATGGCATCCACTATGTATATAAGCAAAGATTCCAAGTAAACAGAATGCAGAAAGAGACAAAAATGTTAATGTCGATTGTGAACCTTAGAAGCATCAGCTAGACATCACCCACAAGCAAAAAGTAAAGAACAAGTAAGGTACCTTTGTGCTTGAAAGAAAAATTAGTCCAAGATGAGCAATTGAATTTTATCTCAATTATTCACATTCATAAAAATGAAATATGAGTATATATTACTTGTTTACAAAAGTGTGAGTACATAGAGATTTTGCACATGAGAATAATTATAAAATACTCCAAACCACTTGTCATACGATTTGATATAGATCAGTCTATAGTAATGCCAAATGGTTGGGCTGCTACTACAAAATGTGTCATTTTCTCTAACAACAACAATCTAAGGTCCTCTGTAATTTATAGTGGCATAATCTTGTTCCAGTCTAGATATCAAGTTCAAGAAAAACTCAAATGCATAAAAATGCATACAAAGTAAATAAAAGAACAACACAAAGACTGACACACCTGCTGAAGTAGAACAATCCTCTGGTTAGTGGAAGGCATGACCAGGGCACAGAAGGGGAACCGTGATGCCTTAAGGCTATTGCTCATCTTGAAACCTTCCTCCCTCCTTATGCTCCCGCCCCAGGCCACAAAGTTCTCGTTCACAAATGCCGCCACTGCGGGTGAATACAGGCATCCCTCGCAGAAGGCTGGCACGTCCGGGTGTTCCGGCGAGTGCAGGTACACGAACATCAGCTTATACTCCCGCTGGGATCGATGGAGGGCGTCCATGAACCCCTCTGCGACGAAACGGGGCCCTGTGCTGGAGGCGGCGCCTCCGTAGACCCTCTCAAAGGCCGCGACGAAGTCCGCAGCCTCAGCCGCAGAGGCGGAGAGGGGGATCAGGCGGTCGGCCTCCTGATCCCTCGGCGCGGCGGAAATGCCAAGAAGACCGAGGGTCCGGGATAGGACCCCGCCGGCGATCCAGAAACCAAGGCCAACGGCGCCGGTGACAAGGTGGACTCCGCCGGACACGACGTAGAAAGGGAGGGTGACGATTTTCCAGGCAAGACCAGGAGGAGGGGCGGCGACTGCGGGCGGGGCGGAGGAGGAGGCCGCAGCGACAGAGAGGGGAATGGAGGAGGAGGCCGCAGCGGAAGAGGGGGGAATGGAGGAGGAGGAGGACGGGGCAGCATGGGAGGTGAAAGAGGAGATTGCTAGCTCGAGGTCCCAGTTGTGGGCGGAGAGGATCTCGGTGCAGAGGTCGGGGTCGTCGAGGCCAGTGATGGCCTGGAAGTAGGCCAATTTCTCGTCGGATCCATCCGCCATGGCTGCTACTTCTCGCTTCGTCGAGATCGATGCCACTAGGTTTTCTTTGATTAGGGAGTTGGGGTTCGACTCTCCAAATCAAAGAAAGGGCTCTTTATTTGCCTGCTTTCTTCTCCTTCCACCTTGAATCCCGAAGGTTCTCTCGATGTCGCTTGTTTCGCATCTTTTCGAGTGCTAATATACGATCGATACTAATTTCGATTATATATATATATATATATATATATATATATATATATATATATATATATATATATATATATATTCTTTAATTCTTGATAACTATAATAAAATTCCCAAAACGTCTTGACATATCTAATTTAAGTGAATGAGAATCTTATAATTTTACATATAAATCCTGGCTAATTACGTTAAATCTCTTTAGCATCTTAATTACTAAACTTAAAAAATTTATATTAAAATATCTACGATTGAAATATTTAATTTTATTTATCCTAACATTATCGATTTTATTGATAGACAATACATCATGTGACAACGAACGATATAAAAACGATAGATAAAAAGATAACGAATGATATAAAAACGATAGATAAAAAGATAATTTTAATGATGGCATAGGATGATGATATCGTAGGTGACAATTGACCTTATTGATATCGATCTGAACATCGACGATGAGAAAAAAAAAAGAAAAAAAAAAGAAAGAGAGAGGTGAAGTATCTAATTGATGTTCCTTTTAACGTGACTCTACCAGTCTGCTTATCTGCAACCATGTTATTCTAATTGATGTTCCATAACCCTGTAACCTTTTTATCAGAGCAATCTTCGAAGTAATTAGAGCCTCTGCTATCTTAGAATATATATATGAGTAAAGATATATGGATACACGCCGATCACTACACATCGGCGATCCTTCTTCAGCTCTTATGTGGATATAGTCTCTTTGACTATTTCAGATGCTGTTTTAGAGAAGTGGCACAAAGGATTCAACTGTGTTGACAAGGGATGTGAACACTCAAACGCTTTTGATTTTCTAGAAGGATGTGGGTCTCGTTTACCACAGGATACAGAAGACAATGATAGCATCGTACATGCAATATCCACTTTCATTCCTCGGTAATCCCGAGCAAAATCAACAATGGTATTAGTTCATGATCAAATTGGTAAATATATCAATGGTTGAAAGAAGAAAAATAAAATAAAATAAATAAATGATGATGGAAGAAGATGATAGCGGAAGAGGAGGAAGAAGAAGAGGGATGAGGAAAGAAGAAGAAAAAAATGATGAAAAGAAAATAGGGTAGAGGAATAAAAAAAGAAAAGATAATGATGGAGGAAGAAAAACATAGAAAAGAGATTAGGAAACACAATCATGATTGAAGACAACAAGAGATGAGATGCACAATATGACATGGTTCTACATTCCCGACACACAAAGAAGAGAGAAGAGGGCTATTCCCTACACACAAAGAAGAAAGCTTACTGTTCATGAACCCTATTTGATGCACAATATGACATGGTTTTTAAATATCTTATGGGTTGAACAGGACTATCTAAAACAGAAGTAATCCGTGTATCGATTAACATCTAAATTGGTACATACCACCCGTTTGGCACCAATCCTTATGAAACATCATTCCATATCTATGACATCAGATTTTTTTAAATCACAGCTTAATTCTACTAAGGAGAATAACAATGAGCCTGTAGACAGCATCAAGCACATTATAACAGCCAATTCCATCATTTAAACAGGTTAGATTACTTACTGGAGGTCAGAGTCTCGACGACTTGACAGACTTTACATGGTTAAAAGCAATAGATATCTCAATCCAATGCACACATCATGACATGATGAGATTTGATGAATATGCCTTCTCTTCAAGCCTAGATATTACATTGGCAGCTGCAAACTCTATCAACCGTCAGTGGCGGTATCCATGGTTGACTACCTGCCTACACATCGAACGGTATGTTTGACCACATCATTTGCCATCTTGATAGCAGGACTTTTTACCTTCAAGATTTCAGGATGCCATACTCAACACATGTGTAGCTTCAAGCATTTATAGAGCTAACGCATGTATTAGATCATCACAACCTGTCAGATACACTAACTGGAACTAACAATAGGAGATTGATGATATCCAGGGAACACTGGAGCTCCTTTATCCATGACCTTATTCGCTAGATCACCAGATCTCAAGCAGCTGTTTTGTTGTAAAAGTTGGATGAGTGACAAAAATATATCCATCCTCGTCACCTCCCTGTTTGCCTACAGTGGAATGGAAACACAGCTTTGACTGCTGAACATAGTATCTAGCATGTAGAAATTTGTTTAAAATTCTTCCTTAAAATGAAACCTACCTCAACCAGGAATCTTGCCCAAATTTTACGCTCACGAATCTCCATTATTCCCTTCAAGATTATCAAGCCAAATCCACGTATGATATCTGCTATCTCAAGAAAGAGTCCTCGGTCTTCACAAACCATCTGCACTCACATGATGTGGCCAATTCTCAGTTCTTGGAACTAGAAGTAAAAAAAATTATGCTGCCTGCTATTTTTACCTCAACTAGCATCTGGCCAGGGGGTGTGAGATCCTCAACTATTATTGGACAGACCATTGTTTGCCCTGCCACTTCATATGCCCAGGTTGCACCACCACCGCCAACACCACCAGAATTGTCTTTTAAAACAACACCACTCTCCTCACCAATAATCTACAAAATTCATATAATGATATAAGGAGTAAATGAAAAACAGACTAAGAAATATGTTGCTTGCAATAAGCACATAGAAAACAAGAATGAAGCTACAAAATTAGTTGGTACCTTGGGCTCATCAGCTTGTTTGAGTTTGTCTGCATACTTTGTCACACTTTGCAAAAAAAGCATATGTTTGATCGTTTTGTCCAATAGAGCATCAATGCTACACTGTTAAGTCCCAGAAAAGCATATGATAAACAAAGAATAAAAATAATGCAGAAACAAATTCAGTTAATCACAAAGTTCCGAGTGTACCTTTGCACCATTGGGCACAATCTCCCTCAATTCTTTGAGACGATCTTGTATCTGTTGACGATCTTTTGGTCTTGGCCGTGTACTTTCACCAGGTCTTGCCCTTTTCTTAACAACTTTTGCAGCTTCTTCAGGCTTCTTGGGCTGATTCAGAACAGAATTCTCAGTATTCATACTGCAGCTATCATCAATCCATGAACAGATGGTGGTGTTTGAGAGTTCTTGTTTTGGAGATCCATGACCAATTTCAGAGTTACAGTAAGGCAACAGAACACCAGATGTACCGTTTATGGTAGGAACACCTATTGATGGAACCAGATTGCTGTACACTGAAGGTCCAACCAAACTCGTAGAAAATTGATTCTCCAAATTAGGACCAGATATGGCATGAACATATTTGGCAGCAGAACCATGAGAAGATGCTTTATTTAGGTGGTCACCGACAATAGCATCCAGTAATTGTTGAAGACTAGATTCTGAGAACAGCCCTTTATCACCACGAGGACGTAAGCCCATCTCTGTCACTGAGATGCAATCTGAATCAGCACTCATATTCGAACAACTGTTATGGCCAGTATTATCATCCCACAACTCATGCACAAAGTCTTTTGGCCTCATATCTAACTGCATGCCATCAAACAGGTCATTATCAGAAAGTGGTTGCACAGGTGATAATGAAGACTTCTCTTTATCATTTTCTAGGACCAGTGAATTAACTGCAGCTGAAATGGAACTCTCAACTTGCTTCCCAGATGATCCATTAATCAAGCTGTAGCCAGTAGGTCCAGCAGGTATAGACCTGGCACCCAGCAGGTTCTCATTCATTTGTGTTGTTACATCATCAATAACATGCTCTGATTGTTGATGACAATGGCTAGCCACTAAAGCATCTTTAGGATGACATAATAAAGGATTTTCAGGTGTCAAGTCTGAAGGATCAGTGACAAAATCATTTAGATGCTCTGAAGCAAAAGAGGAGAAAAGGCCAGAAGGCTTGCCACCGTATAGAGCACCCAAAGGCAAAGGTAACTTCTCTGCACCATAAATGCAAGCTTTGACAACATTTGAAGATCTTGCTTTGGGAATGGAATCATGTAATGCAAATTTGCTAGACGATGGAGAATCTGCACAAAATTTATGCAATATATTCATAAAATGAAAAGGAAGATTTGAATTTGTAAGAACTAAGTGATTCTGCATACCAGATGACAGCCCGTGCTCCATCATTGGCATATTAAAAATGTTGCTAGAGCAATTAACTGTCTTCAAGTACGTCACACCTGAATTTTCTGGATGATGAGAAATAGATAGAAATTTGGTATTGGGTGTCACTTGAACTTGAGCTTGAACAGCGGCTGCATTTTGTTGCTCTGTCAAGTCAAATGAGGAATTTCTACTCATGAAGAATGTATTCTGGAATGAGTTGCAGAAGTCTCTAGAATCACCAGTAGAACAAGTTACTGGGGTTTCTACTGCAAAAGGACTCATTTTGCTTTTATGAGAACTGGAACCATGATAAGACTCCAAAGAGAATAAATGGGGAGCCATAGCTCGTCCACCTAAAGTGTTGGTGTTATTTAGCTGCTCTCTATAGGCTTCATGGATTGTATTGGTGTTCTGGTAACAGGAATAAGCATCTCCTGAAGAACTTGTAAAACCAAATGCTCCATGCTGATCATGAAACTCCACTTCTTCATGAGTATCTATGCATTGGAAATGTCCTGTCACGCTCTCCATTAGCTGGACTAAGCACTTGGCTTGATTTAAAATCCAAATATCAGGAATATGTTAGGCCTGTACCAGAATGAATCATGATCAACATCAGAAATGATAAAGAGTTCATCAAGTGATTTGGAAATAATCATCATGGTAAACAATAAGAGTTCCAAACGATAAGAGAAATAATTGGCATTAAGTTGAGGAAAATGCAACATAGACCTATTCTTGTTCTATGTGGCACATATTGAAGAGGCTTGGAACAAAAATAAAATAAAACATTATGGCAACAAACAAATGAAGGATATCCTATATGTCTCCTGTCCAAGGCAATACATCCCTGCCTTATGCAATACCAGGACTTTGTTCATGCCTATTAACCACCACGGATAACCTTCATTTTCACATGTAACATATCTTTTTAAAATGACCAAAACAGCCCAATTAATTTGCTATTTGTTTTGATCAAATGCATCAATTTTTTTTACAGAAAATACTTTTTAAAGGTCTACTGCCTTGAGGTTTGAACTTTCCTATGTTGTAAAGGTTCACAATTATTAAGTTCCCATGGTAACAGAGTACTTCTATGATGAACAAAAACAATTACAAGTTATTTTGAGGGAAACACAACATGGAAGTTTATTTATAGAAGGGGACTTATTCTAGAAGATTTTGGACATAGCTAACACTCCCACAAGAGTTCATCTTATGTTTCTCATGCATACCAATGCAATTAGATGATCCTAGCCATAGACTACGAAGATTTGACATGCTGCCCTAAATGCCCATGTTGTGTTTGGAATATATTTTAGGTTCAATGCTACTATAAAACACCACAACAAAACGCTCCAGGTGCTAGCATCAATAAATATTCCCTGCTACTTGACAAGTCTGCATATTTGCTTCAATAGTAAGAATAGTTGAAATTATGAACAACATATAAGGAGTGGTTAGATCAATATGTGCAAAATCTTTAACTTCTAAAGTTGAAAAAGATTTGGCATATCACTATATCTTGACTGCCATCACTTACTAAACTACACAATTTTTGTAAGAGAATGGTTTATACATATAGCATTCCAGAATAAACTTTTTGGATCTCTCCGTCTGTTTACGGTTTTACTTATTTGTTTAAGTGAATTAATTTACTTAATTATCTAAATCTGAACCATCATCGTCATCAATAGCATATAACACGTTTTCATAATGGACTTTTATATTCATCCTGTTACAAGCATGGCCAATATGCTCACAATAATTTATTCTTAGGATTGTTAACATTTTTAGATTTTACATTTCAGTACAGTCAGCAATTGACAAATTAATGGCCATATATATTTTCCTCATTCTGTTCCACATTTGTGTTATTTGTTTAAATATATGATTTGCCATAGATCAAAATGAATAATGTGATAATGATCTTAATATAGAATGGGCACTGTGTAGCAATTTTGCATGGGTGGCAAACTTCTTTACTTGTCATCTTACTTCCATAGTGTGACAGTTCCCTAATGTTTGAAGCATATGGAGAGAAAGAGTCATCATCTTTTAAATATGACAGAACATCAAATGTCATAAATTCACAGAAAGGAAGTCCAGCATCATTATTGGAAAGGTTCAAGTCATGTAAACAAGAGATGATTAAGTTATTGAAAGTTAACACATCTAAATGAACATTATTTAACTTGACAGGAATCATAGCAGAAATCTTTCTTTTACATAATCATCCATTCAAGAGTTTTCTTGATTTTCTATGTAAGCTGCGTTTTTTCACCAGGTCTTATGCTTCAGTTAAAATTCATACTCTGGTTCCCTCATTCTTAGACATTTATATTTCAAGAGAATCGGCTCATTCTTTCACAAGCTTAATGTCTTCAAAGGAATATTTGATTCATGAAGCTTAATTTCATCAAAGGCGCCATTCTTTATGGTGTAATTTAAGCCTGGAATGTCGAAGAAATCACCAATATTAGTGCATACTTCCAGTGGTAGTTATTTGTAGTTCAGCAGCCAAACTTAAGAAAGCATCCCATTTACTGATTTAGATAAGTAATTGATTTAATGGTTTATATTATTTAGTAAACCTGCACTTAACTGAATAAGAACATAAAAGAACCAAGCAAGAATCTTGCTTCCAGCCAACTGACATATATTTACCTTGAAAAGGAGATATTATTGAGCAATAAACTAAACTTCTTATTAATTAAAGACACCGCAGCATCCATCGATACATTACTTAAGAAGTAACAGTGTCTGTATGATGCAAATACCAGAGGTCTTAATTTTTCAGCAGTACAAACAAAAATGAAGTACAAGCAAAGACACACTTTCCAATTTTGCTTTCAGAAGCAGCAAAGTAATCAAATTCTAGATACTATCTTAATATATAAAAGAATAATACTACAAGGGTCCATGTGGTGGTACTACATACATTTGGATTATTTTTTTTGAATTATGAAAAGATGACACAAGCAAAAGTAGCCTTTGCAAGACACTAACCACTACAGAGCATATGCAATTTAATGGATGAATGTTTCATATTTTTTTAAGGCTTCTTTTAACATATGGAAGAATGAGACAGATGTGAAATTTGTTCTCCATATGACTTGCAAATACGTATGTTGCCTAAAACATGTATTCTAATGCCTCTAAACAATTTTGCATACCTTCCAATTTTAACTTTCTGATATACTTTTAACAAGATAAAAATATCAAGAAATATTCTCATCTTTTTATTAAGCATGTAAGTATGGCAAAGAGTGTGTGCAACTTAATACAAAAAGATATTCAGCTCTACCTTAGACAACTTCAGCTGGCTAGAAGAGACGCTGAAACTAGATCTCAACTATAAGAATAGTGGCAAATTCACTAATGCTTTTCACTTGTAACCTCTCCAACAACTATTCTGCACAACAAGAAACAGAAGAAGATGTTGGCATTCCAAAAGAACAATTATTTTTGCAACTAATAAACATAGATCATCAGAACATTTGGATTTTTCACAAAGCTATGCATACAAGTAATAAGAAACTACTCAAAAAAATATGTATTTACACAAATAAAAAATAGTAAACCCAGGAAGACATCAGCTAAACTATATAGGAAGAATATGTGGGGAAGAGTAATTAGACTAAATTAACCCTGAAAATTGAGCAAGAGATATGTCCAATTGTTAAAGAAATTCACACATCAAGCACTTTAGACCAAGAAATGTCCCACAAAACTGAATTGGATCATACTATTGATACCCAACGCAATAATAAAATGAAGAAAGCAAGTGTAGTCCAGTTAAAACACGACAAATGGTAGCACCCTTATCCTAACATACCGTAGAAAGATCTTTTCAGTTTTTCTAAAAAGGAACTTCAGCACATACGTACAAGTCTTCTAGATCTAAATCTTTTGTCAAGGAAAACTACTGGTAGTTCAATTGCAAGAAGCTCGTTTCTAACAGAACAAGAACTTATAGCCCCTTAAAGAACCACAAATCGTTTTTCTTTCTGTTGCTTTGGCAAAAAAGAGAGAACTTTTACCAGGAAGGGGAAAAGAAAGGGCAAGGCTTCTTTTTTTTTTCTACTGCAGTATAAGAGGAAAGCCGTCCATCACAGGCAAGCAAAACTCAAAGAATATTCTCTTTCAACCATCAAGAACCAAACCAACATATACGCATCAACAAAAGAAAATGTCAATAAAGACGACTGCTGAGAAATCCTTCAATCTCAAAAGCAAGAAAAGGACTGACTCTTACTGGAGAACTATGTTCCATTCATGTCATATTCCAACTGTTTGGGGATAAGGTAGGGAACATAATAAGGAAGAAGCAGGCCTAAATCGAACCCCCAAAGAATCCATGAAGCTTACATCGGTTCCTAACGCAAGAAAACAAAAGATACCGCAGGCGTCTGTAAAAACAAACCCGAAAAGATTCCGAATCCGGGAACCGAATGCAAACAAGTTAGAGATCACAGCCGATCCCTACCCATAATCTTGGCGGTCGACGCACCAGACCAGAGCACACCGCCGTCGCCGCCACCACAGACCCGCGAGCGCCTACCTCATCCCCTGCTCGGCCGACGCCGCCTCCGAGAACACCTCCTCTGTCCGAGATGCCAAGGAAAGAGAACAGAACCAAGAAGGAGCAGAAAAAGAAACCCTAAAGCTAACCTCGCTTTTGCTCTCCCACTCCCCTCACAGAGTCTCTCTCGCGCGCTCTCTCTTCTCTGTCTCTCTCTCTCTCTCTCTCTCCCTTCGAGGGAGGGAAAGGCGGTTCAAGTAGCTGTCGGGTCGACCGGGCCCGGTCCAGACACCGGTTTCCAGATGCCAAAAATAATAATAATAAATAGATAAATAAATAAAAATCGCAGTTGGGGGGCGTTATAGGTACAAAGATCGGCGATCTTTTGGCGATGGGATATTAGTGGGCTCCCTCGTGAAAGGGAGAGAGAGGGTGAATATTTTTATCTGATTATTTAATGGTAATTAAGACGAACAACACATGCATCAGAGAAAAGGTAAATGTGATATCTTCTCCATTAATAAGTTGGCAAATTCTTAATTAATGATGATAATTAAGAGAGATAATATGATTAGAGAAGAGGTAAATGTGATATCTTCTCCATAAATAAGTTGGTAAAATATGCTCCAAAAGGGAATAATACATATTGCAAAACACATAATTTCCTCATAAAATAATCTCTCTTAGTTCTTTTGTTTAAAATTGTAGTCGTAAAGTTATGTGAGACCTACTTACATAATTTGATATTAGTCATCCGTAAGAATGACATAATTTGAATTAATTGGTGATATAAGGTGAGGCTTTTACTAACATGGCTTAATTCTGTGGGACAGTACATTACCTGCATTCAACACAGCTTTCAAGAGTTCTTAATCTCCTTAGACTGCTAGGATAGTGATGAAGCCTAACCAAGATGGAATCAAAAAGTCTTTCTTTCTCCATATACATGTGTATTTTATATATGACACCAAGGTGCATAAATTCTTGCATTCCTGTTGCAGAATTCTTTTATGAACTGGGACTCTCTTTCAGGTAAAATATAAATCTATAGACTTTGTCTGTCTACTCTTATACTTTTATGGGTGTAAGATAAGGTTGTAATCCCCTAAAAAAAGAGAATGGATTATATATGCTGTACCAGATCAGTCCCTCCTCTCCTATTTCTGAGTGTTTTTGTTTTGTGCCAGTGAACTGTATCTACTATTGTGCTGGGACCTCCACAGGCCACTACCCTAAACTTTAGAGATCAGCTGTCACACTCTCTCACTCTCTCTCTTTCTCTCACTCTCTCTGAACCACAAGCTAAAGCTCTCTGGCTATGGAATCCAAGGTCCACAGTCATAAAGTGTAGGGATCATCCATCATAAGGCATAATGTCTGTCTAGGACAATGGCACTCACCCCTTCCCTCACAGAACCAAGAGATATGACCTCTCTCTTTAATATGATAAGACCCACACAACATAGGAATCTTGACTAGAAGCTTTAACCTTGAAAAAAACCTAACAACAGAGAAAGAGGAAAAAGAAATGGTTCACACAGTAAACATCTAGAGCCTGTGGTGGTGTTATCCTTGGCTCACTTGGCATTCCAACAACACAAGTGATTATTCTATTGTTGCTAATCCGATCATACTTGTTCACCTATGATTGAGAGCCTACCAAAGGAATATTTCATGGTTTTCCTACTGAGTTTGTTTGAGTCAGCCCTTACGATTATTCCATGGATGTGGTGGTCTGGGGGAAACCCTAACCCACCATCATCATCATCTTGTGGGTGGGAAAAGCTTGAGGGTGGGGGTCCACCACTGGATGCTGCAAGCACAAAGGTGTTCCCATTATTCTTGGCATCAAGCCCTATAATTTTGTCTCCTTAAGCTTCTGAAAGTGTTCCCCCTTAATCATGGCCGCTCACAGAAGGGTCAATGGCCTCAGAAAGTGCTGCTTTCCTTGTGTTTTCACTCAGTTTTCTTTTGCAGAAAGAGAGCCGGTGAAAAGAGGGGCAGTGTGTTGCTGGTTGTGGATGACACCAGAGCAAAAAAGAAGATAACCCCATGTGAGTTCACTGTGGACTGAAATGCTGCATCAACTGTGTCCTTTGTTTACTTGATGTTCTTTTCCACTTGGCTCCTGCTGATAAAAAACCTAGTGTTCTGTCCCTCAACGAGCCTACTGTTTGTTGCCTGCAGTGAGTGACTGTTTAGATGTTGTATCTATCTCGTTGTGCAGCTACTTGTTTGTTCTCTTGGAAGATTTTGGTTCTTTCATTCTTTTCTCCATGGAAAAAGTATCAAGTAGGGCTGCAAGTATTTCAATAGCCAATTTGCAAGAACTCAACTGCAGGACAAACATAAACTACAAATAATAGTGGTCATCAACAAGAGCAAACAAGATATATATCATCCCATGCACCTATTACAATACTATGGATTCATATTTCTTTGGAAGTACAACAATGAAGATTTTAAGCTCATTTTGCTCTCCCAAGCAGTTATATTGCAGTAAGATATGGTTTTCATAATTTCGGGCAGAGAACATCAGCTTACTGAAGTTGTATACCATAAAATAAGAGCATCACTCTACACTCACACTGGTGCTGCTTAGAAAAATTGTTTTCCCCACTGTAGTCAAAGTGAATAATAATATAGCATATATTAGGAGGTGGAAGAGCTTCTTTTGCATGTAATACCACCAATATCATCCAAAACAAAAAAATTGATTTCCTTTGTTCTTTTGACCCCAATATGGCTTGTCTTTTCTTTATGTTAGCTGATGAGGGCGCGAAAGAGACAATCTATAGTTACTGTAGTGGCATCGATGAAACCAGAGAATCGAGTTTAGGACATGCATTCCTCTACTGGAGGAATGCTGAAGGTGTGTATAGAAGACTAGGTTTGATTGGTTAAGCTAACCTCATGCAAAACCATGCATACGTAGCACTTGTCATGCGTCGAGTGTTTTATCCGAGCATGCCTAAGGCTCAATTAGCTACTGTATTATGTTTGGCATGGAAACCCAGAAAGTATACGTTCCTTTGGGATCTCAAAGATGGCTCTTTTAGTACACAAGAGAACTGTATCTTCTACGAACCAGACGAATGGAGTTAAACAGCATCTCTTTGTCGATAAAAAAAGCACTAAACTCAGTACTTATTGCAAATGAACAGTCTTTTCTGAGTTTTTTATCTGATACTGCAAGTCGCACTGCCGTAGAGATTACGAAATGCCCAACGCAGCCTTCCATCTTTCATGGATGTCACCTTCAAAGAGTAGAAGAGATGCTAAGATCGGACTGCAGCGTGTGAATGGAAGCAACTGCTAAGGTTTTGGGACTGTGATATTGCGTGCAAGTTGGGCAGCCGGCACACAAGCTTGTGCAGTGGATTATAAGCAGATGGTAGGTTTAAGTGGCTCGGGACCATCCTACATTGGTGCACCCAATACCAACACATGTTGATCTACTAAGAGCTATTACATCAAACAATGTTTCTACATTTTGCCTCTTACCATTCTACTGTGGATTCTTGCTTGTAGCTTAATAGAACATGTTAAGAGGTTGATTCGAATTTAACCGCTTCCGCATTTATCTCAAAGTCATCATGTATCAAGTGAAGAAAAATCCAGAGCCAAGATCCTACAAGACTATGTTCCAAACATACTCGATAAGACTTATTCGATACCTAAGTTAGTCTTTTGATCAAATGATTGCATCATATGTATGAGAATATATTGAAATAAATAAAGGGTTGAAATGTTCTTATAGCATGATATATATGAGATTATTATTTTTGAGGTTGTGGTTAAATATCAAGAGTCATTATGCACCGTTCCGAATGAGAAATGACCACATATGATAAGTGCGATCATACAGCGTCGAATCTGAAACATGTGAAATAATGATTACTAAATTAGCTTTCTATTTGTGTGACATGATTGACTTCGTAAAGTCGAATTGACCTCCTAATATATGACCATTAGACCGTTTAAGTAAATTGAACCGACCTGAGCCGAAAATACCCAGGACGAGTTTAAAGGGCAGCCACGTGTCTGTCCGGAAGCCGGATGACGTCACCGGCGACGATGCCCACATTACTCTCGGCGCCGGGCTGCGAGTGTCAGACGGGCGGGGACAGACATTTGTCGGTAGTAGCCGGTTCACTTTCCGGTCCGGTTCGACCGTTCCCATGGCGTTCGGCCTCGCCGGAAGTGGCAGACAGAGAACGACATGCCCATCATGTGCATTTAGGGCGATGATGGTGATGATGATGATGATGATGATATGATGCGACGGATGCGTAAGCATAAAGCCAATAAAAGCGTAAAGAGTGGCCTGACGCTTCCGTATCTCTCTCTCCGCCCCCACACCCACCCCACCCCGCCCCCCTCTCCGCCTTTCGGTGCCTTCGTCTCTCTTGGTACACACGCACACACGGACATCTCTGCACCGTCCTCTGGCTTTCGGTACCGCTCTCTGTTACCACTGTTTCAGTTCTCTCTCCTGTTCTTGGCGCGTCGCTTACAGCAAGTCGAGGGGCTTATGACACTTAACGATATCGAACGATACGATCTGCTTGTGGCGCGACCTTCAATGTTTTTAGGAGCCGTTGTCTTGATTGGTATGACGGGCTTATCCCATCGTCATCTCTCCATCTGATGGGTTGTGGCGTGAAAATTAAAGCACCTTCGTTGGGAGTACCATGGACTTATCATTGGGTCGGAATCCTGTTAGATGTGCAACCCGGCCCACTAAGATTACGCACTACCAAATGCAGGTTGCAAATTTATAGTTAATTATGTGAATTTTTTTTCTTAATATGTAGGATTAAATTGGATTAGCGAATATTGATGAAAATATTACGTGGATGGATGTGATGGAGGGATCCGACCGTCTGATGTGGTGAAATCGTGTTCCCTGTCTCAAGCTTTAAGCTTCAACCCCCAAAATGTAACAACTTTGCCCGGAGTTGCTCGCTCTGCCTCTCTCTCGCATTCTCTGAATCTTTCTTCCGTCGGTTCCGTCGCTTGTCAGGAATTCTGCAAGAAGAATCCGACCCTTCTCTTTATAAACTCGAATATAATGTCCGGAGGGTGAGAGATCGGAGAAGAGGGCATAGAGGCGGCGCCGTGGATGGCGAAGCTATACGTGCAGTTAGTGCCGCCGGCGGATCTGAACAAGAACACGGAGTGGTTCATGACCCGGGGGTTTGGACCACCTACATCCTCATCCTCTTCTTCTCCTGGATTCTCGTCCTCTCCGTCTTCAGCTGCACCCCGGGGACGGCATGGACCGTCGTGAATCTTGTCCACTTCGCCGTACTCTTTATCTCTCTATTCCTTCCTTTTTTTATTATTTCCGATAGTTGTTTGAATACCAGGATGATGGAAGTTGTGATTTTGATGATTATTTTGGAAGAATAATAGTCCTTTGCTTTAGTTGTTGTGGATTATGATATGCTTGAGCGCTACCTTTGATGGAGAAAAGAAAAGATGAGATTGACAAAGTTAGAGAGAAAGAAATGAGGGATAAAACAAGACGAAAAACTAAAGTCTTTATACTTTTCTATTTTTTTTCTTATGACGAAACTCGGTCATTGATGAGAGTTACAAAACTCAATTGCTAAGGCTACATCAATATACTTTTATTGTATGTAATCTATCTAATTTAGTAGTGGTTTATTATTTTCATAATTTCCTTCTTCATTGTGATCTTTATTATGGTGTATCCTCTCCATTCTCATTAAATTCTAGAAGTTACAATTGCTTTCACCCATGTGATCATGAGAGAGGTTTCAATCATCTCTCTTAACTAAGTTTAATTTTCTTAACACCCTCCTTAAACTTAATTCATTTTTATCACACACTCCAAGTAATGTCTTCATCTTGAAAATAATCTCCGAATTGAGGGGCTTAGTGAAAATATCCATAACTTTATCACCGGATTTGATGTAGTCCAATGAAACTTCATTCTCCTTGATTTGATCTTGAATGAATTGGTAATGAACGTCAATATGCTTGCTTCGTTCATGAAAGACCAGGTTCTTGGCCAATGCAATCGTCAACTTGTTATCAACATTTATCTTTGTAGCTTGATCTTGTGAATAATTGACTTCATTCAAGAGCTTCCTTAGCTATAAAGCATGGCATATACCTGATAATGCTGCTATATATTCCACTTCACATGTAGATAATGCCACAATGTATTGCTTCTTCGAATACCAAGTGAAAATAGTGTCGCCCTTATAAAAAACAAAGCTAATCGTACTTTTTCGATCTTTTAGAGCTCCACCCCAATCACTATCGGAATAGCCAACAAGTCAAAAATCATTAGAAAATGAATATAGTAGACCATGAGTTATGGTACCTTTGATGTGGCGTAAAATTCTTTTAGCGACCTTCATGTGTGTTGACTTTGGTTCTTCTATAAGTCAGTTTACTAATCCGGTTCCATATCGAATATCTGATCTCATGCAAGTTAGATATCTCAAGCTTCATACTAAGCTTTTGAAATAGGTTCGATCAATTATATCACCATCATCTTGTCTTGAAAGTTTGATGCCACATTCAACTGGTGTGCCAATTGGTTTACAATCTTCCATCTTGAATATTTTGAGAACCTCCTTTGCATATCCTTCTTGTGAAATGAAGATACATTCTTTACTTCGCTTCACTTTGATACCAAGGAAATAAAACATGAGCCCAATGTCGATCATTACAAATTCTTGGACCATTGTTTGCTTGAATTCTTCAAACATGAGTTGGTTCCTATAAAGACAAGATCATCTACATACACGCAACGAAGTAAGATATCTTCTTTTTTGTTCATATTCTTATAAAGAGAACTTTTATAAGGACATTGTTCATAACCATTTTGCTTGAAGTAGTCATCAATTCTAACATTTCAGACTCTAGGTGCTTGCTTTAACTCATACAAAGCTTTCTTCAACTTAAAAACTTTCTTTTTATACCCATTTTTAATATAACCTAATGGTTGTTCTACGCATGGTATGCAGTATCGAATGGTACCGTCCGGTATGGGCGGTACGTACCGGTCCAACGGCGTACCGGTACGTGGACTGCCCGGTACCGCTACAGTGTTACAGTATTACACTGTAGCATTGTTACAGTGCTACAGTACTATACTGTAGCAGTGCTACAGTATGAAGAAAAATATATAAAATTATTTGGTACACCAGGGTGTACCGCTCAGTACATCGGTACCATACCGTACCGAGCCAATCTCGAAACACCGATATGGTATGGTATTATATACCTTGGTTCTACGTATACTTCTTTAAGAAAACTATTCAAAAATACAAATTTAACGTCCATTTGATAAATTAACTAATTATTTTATGCGACAACGGATATAATCAATCTAATAGTTTCCATTCAGATAATAAGGGAAAATACATCATCATAGTCCATGCCAGATTTTTGCTTGTAATACTTTACCACCAATCTAGCTTTTTACTTCTCAACTTGGCTTTATGCATTTTTTTTTATTTTGTAAACCCACTTCATACCAATAGGATTTTATCCTTGATGTAATGATGCTGGCTCCCAAGTTTTGTTTCTCATAATGGAGTTGATCTCTTCATCCATAACATCTTTTCACCTTTTATCTTTCATGACATTTTTATATTGAAGTGGTTCACTATTTGCAAAGAGACAAACAAGATGCAATTCATCTGTTACTTCATATAAATCTCTTACACTTCTTGTCCTTTGAGGTACTGGGCTATCTTCTAGAACTGATTGTATAGAAGAAGAAGATGTTAGCGATGATGGTGGTGTAGATGGCAAAGCAATTTCAAACTTTGTTTGCTTTTGTTCGTCTTTATGCAACTCTTCAATGTTTTTTTTCCCAATTCCATACACCTTCATTGAACTTTACATCCTTGCTTATAACAATCTTTGAATTATTAGGATTAAATAATTTGTAAGCCTTGGATTTAGCGTTGTACCCAATGAAGATGAGTTTGGAGCTCTTGTCGTCCAACTTGGTTCTTCTTTGATCAGGTACATGTGCATAACTAATGCACCCAAATACCTTGAAATGTGAGACGCTTGGTTTTCTTCCAGTCTATGCATCTTGTGGAGTCTTGTTCTTCAAGCTCGATGTAGGGCACCAATTTAGGATATAGACAACACAAGCCACCACTTCAGTCTAAAATTCTTTGGGCTTTTTTTGGTCTTGATCATGCTTCTTACCATGTTGAGAATCGTCTGATTCTTTATCTTTACCACACCATTTTGTTGTGGAGAATATGTTGTTGTGAGCTTATGTCGAATACCATGTTCATCACAAAAATCTTCAAATGCTTTGTAGGTGAATTCACCATCTCGATCAGAGCGGATGGTTTTAATGTAGAAGTCACTTTCATTCTCCACAAAAGTTTTCAAGTTTTTTAACATGCTAAAGACTTCTCCTTTTTCTTTCAAGAAATGAACCCAAGTTTTTCTTGTATAATCATCAATAAAAGTTAGAATATAGTGATGCTTACCAAAGGTTATTGGAGCAATAGGACCACAAACATCTATGTGAATAAGTTGAAGTAGTTTCTTTGCTCTAAAATTTGCCCCATATGGAAAACTTCTTCTTGGTTGTTTGGCCAAAACACACCCTTCACATATTTGACTTGGGTGTTGTATATAGGGAAGACCATTTACCAACTTCTTTGTTGATAGCATATTGAGATCATTGAAATTCAATTGTCCAAGCCTCAAGCGCCACAGCCATGAGGAGTCCTTCACACAAGTCTTTAAATATTGTGCCACATCATGGTTAATGATTAAGAAAAATAATCTTTTCTTTGACATCTCCACTTGAGCAATTAAGCGATTTGTGTTGCTTCTAATAAAACGTTGTTTATCTTTCATGTGAATATCATAACCATTTTCTAATCGTTGTCCAAGACTAAGAATATTGTTCTTCGCACATAATAAACATTTGAAAGACATTGATGACTTCCATCTTTGAAAGAATATCGTTACCTTTGCCTCTCACTGGCACTTTTGAGGAGTGACCAAAGAAGACTTATCCATGCACTGTTTCATCTAACTCCATGAATAGATTTTTGTAACCACATATATGATTTCTAGCTCCAGTGTCCAAGTACTACTTGTCTTGCATGACGATATCGTCTTCTTTATGTGCTAGCAACAAAAGAGAATCTTCTTCCTTCTTTTCAACATGGTTAGTATTTTTAACTTGATTGTTTTTGTTGTAATAGCATTCGGAAGCATAGTGACCATATTTTTTGCAACAATTATACCTTTGGCCTCTTGTATCTCCTATTTCTTATTATTGTTTTAGACTTTGATCTTTTTCATTGTTCCTTCCTCTTCATCCTTGGCCTTGTCGTCTACCACGACCACGACCTCTTCCATGACCAATATCACTTGAGCTTTCATTTCTTTCTTTTAAAGTGAGCTTTGTTTGAAGAACTTATTCCACTGCATCTAGTTTCTTCTTATTGACTAAATGTTCATGTGTTTGTAAAGAATTCATTAGTTCATCAATAGTCATTTGGTCTAAATCCTTTGATTCTTGGATAGAGACCACGATAAAGTTGAACTTTTCATGTATTGATCCAAGTACTTTTTCGGCAACACGTACATTTTCTAGATTCTCACAATTTCTTCTTAGTTGATTGACTATAGTAAGAACTCTTGTAAAATAATCCGAAATAGTCTCAGACTCATTTATTTGCAATGTTTCAAATTCAGCTCTAAATGATTGAAGTCAAATTTTTCTCACCTTCTCAACTCATTTGAAAGAGTTTTGAAGAATCTCCCAAGCATCTTTGAAGGTGTTGGCGGTCGCAACTTTCTCCAAGCTGCCTTCATCCAACCCTTGGTAGACGAGGAAGAGCACCTTCTTGTTTTTCTTCTTTTTGTCCTTCAAGGAATCTCATTGGCTCGCCATAAGGATGACATCATCTTGAGGCTCCTCATAGCCTCTCTCTAGCACTTCCCATATATCTTATGATCCAAGCAAGATTTTCATCTATATGCTCCAGTTTTCGTAGTTGTTTTTTGTAAGGCGAGGCACTTGAAGTTGCATGTTATTAGTTATTTGGACTTGGCTCTGATACCACTTTGATGGGGAAAAGAAAAGATGAGATAGTAAGAGTTAGAGAGGAAGAATTGAGGGATGAAACAAGATGCAAACTAAATTTTTTATTTCTTGTAGATAAGTCTTTACACTTTTCTTTTCTCTCTTTTTCTCATGACAAAACTCATCTATTTATAGGACCATAGATGAGAGTTGCAAAACTCAATTGTTAAGACTATATTCATATACTTTTATTGTATGTAACCTATCTAATTTACCAGTGGTTTATTATTTTGATAACCTCCTTCTTCGTGGTGATATTAATCATGGTGTAACCTTTCCATTCTCATTAAATTATAGAAGTTACAATTGTTTTCACCTATGTACTCATGAGAGATGTTTCAATCCTCTCTTTTAATTAAGTTTAATTCTCTTAACAACCTTGTTGGCATTTGACGAACTTGGTTTGATGGTCAAGATTTTGAGTGATCATTGGGAGGCTAAGGACTTTTTAACGGATCTGCTCTTGTATAATTGTGACTAGAAACTGGTGTTTTGGAAAGAGTAAAAGTTACAAATACCGAATTAAGCAGTCCTCGCAATACATAAATTGCACTTTTTCTTGGTTTCCTTTTTTGGATTTAAAAAGGTTGGGGTATTAAAAAGAAGTCAGTACATTGTGGAGACAGGATTCACTTGAGATCCTGCCTTTATTATGATTACTGCACTGGGAGCCTAAGGATGAGAATTAGAAGCTCAAAAGAAGAGCTTATGCATGACAACATTAGCTTCGATTTTTCACTTGTTGTTGTTGAGGGTGGGGGCCTTGAAAGTGTCATCTTTGACTTGTTTTTAAAGTAATAAAAAGGAAAAATCTTCTTAATTAAGCCGAGAAGTATTTAGCTTTCTAATTAAATGGAGGAGTCTGACAGGGTATAAGTGGAGTCTTTAGCTTTAATTAAGCTGCTTATGCATGATAAAGTTGAAATATTTTGTTCCTTGCAAATATAATGCAGGTGAATGCAACAATGATTTTTGGGATCACTTATTCATACTTTCTGAAACAATATTGTAATATTGTGATTCTACTTCAGTTCTTAAGCTTAAGGACTTCAATTTGAATTGGGATGTGTGTTTCTTCTTTTTCTTTTTTTTTTGTTCATTTTCAGGGGTTGCCATTTTTCTGATGTAGTTATTATGTGACTGGCACATTATCAGAAGGATGTATTGTAAGATTTTTTTTTTGTTCATTGTCAGATGTTAATAAATTGTTTATGCTATTCACTGACTTGATGAATTGATGTTTTTCTGTTTCCATAACCGAGTTACGATACAATGTAGAGTTGGACCAGTTATAGACCTCGATGCTGTCCATTCAATTTGACACTATTTCTGCTTTTATTGTTATAAAATCAATAAGTAAGAATACTGTTTCCATTGTGTTCAGTTTTTAAAGACATGTTAGGTGGTTGTAAGTTGTAACTTGTTTGGTTGTTTGGAAGATCAGATGCTCATGAGTTTCGCAAGGACCATTGGATGGTCATGAGGTTAAAATAGCTGCTAGTTGTTCTGCTACCAGGAGACTTTGAGAAATAGAACCACATTTAAGAAACCAAAGAGAAAAACAGTTCTAATTTACTAAAAATGTTGTGTCCAGTCTTTGATTATTTACTTCTTGGACAAAAATGAAAAATGGAAAATGGAAGCAATGTCTAAGAATAATTAATTGGTGTAAAAACTTGCCTACAGAGTTTTAGTGCTGAATAAGAAATCATCATTAAGTGAAAAATTTTGATTCCCCTTTCGATGAATTCTGTATCTTCAGATCACAGATAAGTCCTTGGTTGTATATCAAATTGTTTTGAGCCTACTGTCCAAGTTCCGTTCATTTATTATAGGAGCCCTGTGCTTACAGTTGTGTCATATTTATAAAATTCTTTTCTCTTCTTGTCCGATTATCTTAATGCCTTTGTAACTTGTAAGTTGGACTTGTCTAATGTCTTGATATCTAGGATAAAATAATTTTTAGGACTCTGTAATTCTAAGACTTCTAATCTTTGATTTCTGAGGCCTAATGTAACCACAAGTTGCATCAAAAATATATGGCATCTATATGTAACTCAAAAATGGTGTTTCTGAGGTTCTAAAATATTTTATCGAGGAATGGAAGTTGCAAAAACATTTTATAGTGTTATAATAAATTGTCAACATTCAGTCAGAAGGGTGTTCATTTACTTTTCATTATATTATGCTATTGGAAAACTATTCTATATTAAGTTTGTGGCTCATGAAATATTGGGTCAGGTTTTGGGATGTTAGCTTCTGTTGTCAGCTTGTTCACAGAATTGGAAAAAGTACATTATTCTGTTTTTCAAGATACTGTGTCATTGTCATCTTGTATTTTGGTTCATTAAAATTTCTATATGCATTTGTTGTTATGGATTTCGTGCTGGTTCGTACCATGACTTCAGGATCCAGTTATAGTTTTTTTGTATTTTCATAAAGCTAGAACACAATATGGTGTTGGTTCATAAGGCCTTAAAAACTCCACACTATGCGAAAATCTGAGGGTATCAATATGTGATTACAAATGTGGTTACTGTAAGATTGAGCTGCAACTTAGTTTAATAGTTGAGAATATTTTAGTGTTTGTCTCTATGATCAAGTAGTTATGTACCAAGAATTTCAGCTAATTGGCTTTCGAGTATTTTTATACTGCTAAGTTGGTGACTAGTAGAAACAGGACTTTATTGAATTTTCTCTTGGAGTTTCACCCAGCGGTGTGTTCAATTCATCTGCAGAAACTGCAGATTTCGTTGAGAAATGCAACACAAAGTATCACTTACATTACAGTTCAATGGATGTATTGTTCGTTCTCTGTTTCAGTACAATATCTAGCCAGCTGATTGCATTTCAATCTTTTGAATCCTTTATGTTCTCTGATGATTTGGGTTTTCCAGATAACCTACCACTTTTTCCATTGGAAGAAGGGAACACCCTTTTCTGATGATCAAGGAATCTACAATAACTTGACATGGTGGGAGCAGATGGACAATGGCAAACAACTTACACGTAATCGGAAGTTCTTTGACCGTTGTCCCTGTGGTTCTGTAAGTATTCTTTTGTCAATCTTGCCCTCATTTGATATTCAATTTGTGAAATGAATGATCACTAGCAAATTATGTTGTACAGCTGACTTATAGGACTTACAGATACTAGGTAGTCAAGTTAGACGCATCATTCTTTCATTAGTGAACAAAGCATGTTATAAAATATGTGCTTTCTTGGCCTCTTTAAGCACATGTATCATAGAAAGGCAACAGAGGAGTTGGTCTGCAATAGTCAAGTATTTGTTTGTTATACGATAGAGAAGTAGGTAATTGCCAGACAGATCCTTGCTACAAAAGTCAAAACTTTTTTAGCATTATTAAGCATTAAAGTTGGATAGGGATGATTGTTGGTTGATTTTAGATTGATAGTTATAAATCTTATCATACATATGCTTTTACAAACTTAAGTATGACATCGATGTGATGAATTTGCTTTGAAAGGTTAAAATCATGGAACTTACTCTAGGATTAAGAGTTAAATAGTTACAAGTTATTACTTCATAATGAACTATAAATATAAAAAATCTTAGGAAGAGAAACAAAATACTTAAGCACGCCTACTAAGTTACCTTTGAGCTTCAAGATCTTCAAAATGAATGGCTTTGTTTCTAGTCAAGATAAAAGTGCAACAAGCTGTAATGTCTCAAATATTTGGGTTCATCTGCATCAATTTATTAACTCTACTAAGATCCGTTTAGAGCAACATCACCGGTTGGCTTAAGAGCCATGAAATATATTTTTATGTTTACAGGAATACTTTCTACAGGTCTCCTTTTGGAAAAGGACATGGTTTAAATCAATGAAACATGTGAATGCATATACTGCATCCAGTGCACGTATGGATCTAACAAAACTTGTGAATCACATGGTGTGAAAAACAATGTGCTCGAGTAAATATTTTCATAAAGATGTAGCTTGCATTGAGAGATTCCAAGTGTTGGCATATATCTCTGATTAAGAACTGGAATAATGAGGAATTGTTTGCATGATAAGATATTTTTTGGTTCTGTATCTTCATCTGGCGCAATTAAAGACGCTTGCCGCACAGCTAGATTACTTGATATATATCTTGGATTCTTCTGATTTTGCCCATCTTGTTGACCTGGTTTGATTACTTGGAAGTAGGAGTATATTGTGTGCCTATAGCTCACATCAAGGAAATTTTTGTGGCTGAACTTTACGAGTCATCTCAAACCATCGTCATTTATACCGAAAGGTAAAAAATGATTAATAAAATAAATACTTTTCTACTCATTTCTCTGTTTCCTGCCTAAATAGATGGTCGTTATCTTAAGGTTTGATCGCATACATCGATTAAGAAATTTTGCATCTGAACAATTGTGTGGGCCGTTGCTTTTTGACCAGCTGATTTTAATCGAGTGGTTTGCCAATTTCTTCTTCCAGGTCCTTCATAGCTTCGCACATGTCTGATTACCGACATCCAGTGCTTTTCCTGAACACGATTGCAGTGATCGTTCTGGTCGTTGCCAAATTGCCCAACATGCACAGAGTACGAATCTTTGGGATCAATGCAGGTTACTGAGTGGCTATTGATGGATTACAGATTCCTTTTGTGGTGGTACTACAAGGGTCCTGGTGATACTGAGCAGCCCATGAGCCACCAAGTTGATGCTTATAATGTCTTTGTACAGAAGCAACTCTTAAGTTGATGCTTATACTGTCTTTGTACAGAAGTAACCCGAGTTAAAACGATGTCATGATGCTTATGATGAATGAGAAGTTTGTTGTTCCCGCGAGTAGAATGGATTGGCTTTCAAGTTTTTCTATAAGAATAAGCTTTTATCGTGTCGTTTGAAATTATAGATCTTTTTAAAAGGATTTAATCTGTTGCTTTTCGCTGCAGGAAAAGTCTTTTTGATATTGGATTTGGCTTTGCTGGTGATGTCAAAGCATTGTTATGGTGACGATATCAGACAAACCGGGACAATATAATGTATGCTTTGAGTTACTTCATGCTTTGCCTCTTCATTCATTCCAAGAAAAATCAAGATCTTTTAATCTTGGGCAGGTTCAACATACCGTGGCTCCTTTGCGACTCAGGAAATCAAGATTCCAACTATACAACACAATGGTAAGACCTCGTTCTTAAATGTTTAGATATAATCAAAATCTTTGTCAATATCCAAACGTGGGACTTACTGTGTACTGTCACCACCCAAGCAGAGAAGAACAAGGAGAGGTCGGCTACACTTGGAGTCATTACCTTTTGCATTGGGTAATCAGGACAACGGAGGTACATGCAATAATGTTTAGGCTCAGTTTCGGTTGCCTAATAAGACAAGGAAAGCACGTGAAAGATGCACAGTACGTGAAGAGGTAGTGGTACAAGGAATAGATGCACAAAATAAATAGCTCAGCTCATCATTTGGCACTGTGTTCTTCTTGCATTCTCAAAGATGTATTTACATCGAGAAATGCATGGGAAGGAGAGATTGGCTGCTATTTGTTAGGTGAAGACAGAGGGATATGAGAAAAGTGCATGAATCCTTGGGTGAGGAAAAAACTTTTCCCCCCTGTGCTGCTGCCTTCCTGCGGCTACTATGTGCAGAGGGTTCTACCTCTTTTTTTGTTTTGTTTCCTCTGTGAAGTGGAAGGGTTAAAAGGAAGTGAGGCGAAGAGGGAGATGTACTTTTTATGGTGGTAATAATCCAAGTGGTTGCACTGCCCACTTGCAGATGTGCTTGCACAGGTATGGAGCCATGCGAATGAGAACTCCTTTGGATGTGTGTGTGTGTGTGTTGTCATACCTCTGTTCTCATGGCTGGAAGATCTCAGACCCATTGCAGAAGAAAGCAACATCAAAAGATTCAAAGATAGAAGAGGAAATTAAAGCATGAAGTTACTTTTGTTTTTTGGTTTTGTCGTAATCCATACACAATCTTTTTCTTCACAGGTTCGCGCTCGAGTCCTCCAAATGGTGCAGCAGTTTCCCGCAAGAACACTTCTGCAACCCTTGCAAGCTCCCATGGCCACTACTGCTCCCTCCCCCGACACTTGCATTGAATCCAACCAACGTTAGATTCAGCGTTGGCGGTCCGAGATCCTGCAATCCAGGGCCACAAGGGTACTCCATCGTCACGGTCGGGGTGAATGGCGCAATCAGTCCTCTCGCAGGTATCCCGCTCCTGAGCAGCTCCGTTATGGAGTCAGCAACGACGGCAGTGCATGTGTTCCTGCCATCAATGCTGTTGCTGTTTCCGTCTCTGGATCTGCCGCTTTCTGAGCTGCGGAACTTGTGCTGTTCAGGGGGGCTGTGGTGAGGAAAGGCCAGGTTGAGGTCATGTCCCTCGTAGAGCTTTGGGGCTCCGGGGGTGGAGGAGAGGGATACAGGAGGAGAGACGAGGCCTGCAGGCGTCAACTTCTTTAAAGTAGAGACGGTCGTTGATGAGGTGGAGGAGGAGGAGAATAGCTTCTTGTTCTTGTTCTTTCTCGAGCCGCCACCGACAGGGACGTTCCTGAGTGATCCACCATGCGTCCAGTACCTCCGGCAATCTCCGCAGAAGTACCTGGGCTGGGTGAGGCTGTAGTTGTTGTAGTAGCAGAACTTGGTGTTGGTGGAGTTGCACCTGGGGCAGTCGAGAGCCTTCTCCTTGTGTAGCCTCACCTTCCTCTCCACCGCCTGCTGCGGCCTGTTGGCGGTGCAGATGCTGTTGCCTGCCATGGTACCGACGGTGGTGGTATAAACCAAGCCGCCCTCCGCGGCCTTCAGCAGCCCTACGTCGTCCTCAAGACCACCAATAAAGCCACATCCCTACACTTGGAAATAGAAGAGGAATCTTTGAATCTTTGAAGGAACCTTTGAATCTTTGAAGAACCTTATGCCTAGGAGAGAGAGATCAATGAAAGACAAAGCTCCAGCGCAGCATGAGAGAGAGAGAGAGAGAGAGAGAGAGAGAGAAGAGAAACAAAAGACACACACCAGCTTAATGAAACCCACGAAGCAAAAATATGGAGGCAAGACTTATGTTAGCGCTTGGGGTCATTTACCTGAGACCATTGCACTCTATCCATGCAGCTCGCAGATGTAAAGATGGAGAAGAAGAGGAGGAAGAAGCAGCAGCAGCTATTCTCAGAGACGGGCTGCTAAGGATAATCGTCAAAGATGACAATCTCGTGTTTGATTATTTTTCTGCAATGCACAGATATATATATCATTGCATTACTTGCATTTAAAACCAAAATTTGGGTGAGTATTTGCCCACTTTCTGTACGTATAGCCATCTCTTTGTGCAGATATATATATATATATATATATATAGAGAGAGAGAGAGAGAGAGAGAGAGAGAGAAAGAGAGAGAGAGAGTGTGTGAATCAACTAACTACACTTTCGGTGATGTGTGTAAGATGCAGGTGACAGGTAGCAATCATGGTGTTGGAGATTGCTAGGTCAGAGATATGCATCATCTCCCGGATGCATATACAAGTGTTTTTTCCTCCTTTTTTTTATTTTTATGCATAGACAAGTTGAAGTTCGTGGTTGGTGTCAGTTCTTCTCAAATTTAAGGAGATCCAATGATTGAGGACCCATTGCATAGAGCTTCATAAATGTCAAAGCTCAAGAAAGAGTCCCAAACTGGGGAACTTTGCATGAATGGGAGGGATATCTACTTCCCACTGTTTTCCCTTGTTGGATTGGGATTGTTCAAAACTAAGACCTCCATTTAAGATGAGTTTATGGACTCACTGTTAAGATGTGATAGTATAAAATGATTCTAGTTAATGATAATAATAAATAATAATTTAAATATTTTTGATTTAACTAAACATATAATTTCTTATATATTTGATCCTAAGTAATTAGAATTTATTATTTTACTATTGTTATCAATAATATATATATTCAGTATAAAAAAATAATTAAAGCCTTATGATTGTATTTTTTAATATTTGGAGCAGGTATTAATAACTAAAAATATAACAATTATAAAAGACATATAAATCAATAGAAGTATTCTGTTAAAGCACTTACTAAGTTAAAAGTTTCTAATTCTCAGAGAAAACAGCAAAAGCTCACAGAGCCTTTATTCATTTAGACTGATCTCTATATGCTCGAGGCAGAGAAAGAGACACATCGTGTACAAGTTCAGATTTCGAGGTCAATATAGTGTACATGAGACCCAACTGAAGCCTAATATAACAATAGCTCAATTTGGCCCAAAAGCTTCAACAATTAGAGGAAATAAGGTTTGAGACTTTAGCTTAATTATCTGCATTTCTAATCTATTTTTAATCTTCATAAGAGATCTCCAGAACAGGTGCAGAAGTCATGCTTCCATTGGATTGCTTAGCTTAAATTTGAATATTTTATGAGTCTTCCATTAACATCGAGATCGAGATTAGATTAGGAGTGTTCAAATCGAGCTCATATTACTTATGAAATTATGATATTGAAATTGATATGAACCAGTTAATGGTCTTAACAATGAACACGATTAAGCCAACATTTTTAAAATTAAAATTGATTCAATCTAGTTCGATCGAACTAATTAACTAAATCAAAGAAGAGTAAAATCATTTATATCATTTAAAATTCTTATTGCTATAGTAGATGAACTAATCCATAATTTGATTTAGTTTTTGTATTTGATTGGGACACCCCCAACAAAAATAGTTTTTTTCTAAAATGCTGGAATTAACCGTGGTTATTATTTAATGAGATGATATTAGTTTCAATCATAATTATTGAGAATCTTAGGGACCCTCTTATCTGAATCCAATAACTATGAATCTTTACATGTTTTCACCGTGGAGTGAGAACATTTTGTTAGGTTTTTATGATCATTTTATAATTGGATAAGATCTTATCGTAGATCCTCTACTCTCGCCTGTAAAGACAGAACCTTTAGGGGTTGAGATAGCGTTGACACGTTAGCACGTATACACGTACAGACACACCTCTCCGTTAAGTTTTTCTCCTCAACTTTCTCCCCCAAAATTCATCAATCTTAGTAGGATCTACTCCTTTCAATCTTGACATATAGGTTATTTTCATAATTACATATTTTTATGCTTACACATTTCTCCAAATAACATGAAAAATAGGATTCTAATTCCTTCTTCATATCTCGACAATCCATTAATAGCACCACTGCTTCTTGTCCTCTAATATTTTTATGAGTCGCCGAGGATACAGTATGTCCAAAGACTTAAGGGCACTGTGCAGTGCAGCACCAGAGACCTCTGCAAGATGACTGACTGCCCATTAGGTGGATGGATCATTGCGCATCACCTGCAGCAGTGAGGAAATGATGTTGAGTGTCTTTTGCACTGTGGATGGGTATAAACAATTGCAGATCTACCAGCAGTGTGTTGTGTTATTTACTGTGCACTTCCATGTGATCACGGTTTCTGAGGAAGTCAAATTGATGTGGGAATTTTCATCTGTCTTTATTTCGCAGACTCCATGCATGATAAAAATGCTTTTTTGGCTGAGACAAAAAGGACAACATCAGATGACATTCTCTTCTGCAGGATTTAGATTTCATTGAGTTTTTAGATGAATTCACAGTGGCCAATAATTAATTCACATGTAGCAATGGCTTTCAGAAATATTTTGGATAATTAGCTGCTTGTGTTAACATGTCAAGGTGACTGAGAATGGGGTTGATTGCCATGAGCACAGCTTTTCACAGAGACAAGTCCTTGTTTTCATGCTTATTTATTTTGAATCACCTGATGCTCTCACTAGGGAGCAACTGCAGTTAAATAATACTACAAATATGAGTGATCCATTAGTGTACCATCAATTTTTCTAAGGAGAAGACACCTCTCTCTTTCTCTCTCTTTCACTCTCATGCAGCTGACAGTGCCAGGACTCTCCCCACATGCTGCCGGACTGTGTGTTCATCAAATAGAGATTGATTGTAGTACCTTTGAATTGGGATCAAATAAGACCAGGTTTAAACTGTTACCAGGATAGGACTCTCCAGAGATTCCCTAAATCTCTTTCATTTTAGTTTCAATGAGAACTATTAAACTACTTTCTTGGAAATGAGAGGAGTAGATCTGTCTGATATCTATATATATATTTTTGGAACTGTTTATAAGTAAATCCCACTTGAGATATCTTTGTTGTTTTTGTTCATTTAAGTGGGAATGGATCCATAGAGGAGAAGTAACCTTTTCTTTAAGAAGTTTTCCTAGAAAAATTTCTGCTAAACACAAAAACAGAGCTTTTTACTAAAATATTTAGAACAGTTTTCATGAAAAAAAAAAAGAGAGGTTTTCTCTTTAAAAAAGGGAGAAAAAAGAAGAAGAGTATTTTCCATGGAAACTGCTTTCCTTGCAGATTCTTCTCCTTGGAATCAAACATACACAAGGGATAAAGAGAGGAATCCAGAGAGACATGAAACATGTAGATCAGAACATGAACCCAGAGATGCTCTCACTTTCAGTGCATCATTCGGTGTCTACTTGAGCAAGAAGACAGACCATGAGAAAGTTCTCCTGCAATCCAAAAGCACTAGAAGAGTCATCAGATACGAAACACGTCAACCAGGAAACCAGCAACGAGCCTAGCTTGGGAAGGGAAGAGAAAGAAGCTGCCTGTGCTGGGAACCCTTCCATGGAATGCATCTTGCCCAAGTGAGCATTTCACCTGCAACCCCACCCGCCATCATGGCACACGAGGCTCTGGATGGAATACTCACTTGAGCAAAAGGCCTTCCTATGGGAGGTTTTACTCGGACTTCCTCTACTCCTCCACCTTCTTTCTGCTGATGAAGGATGCTGCTGCCTTTTGCTGTCCTTCTTATAGAGCCCGAGCTTGGGCTTCATCTGCCTCTTCCTGGCCTTCTTTTAGGTGCGCCTTACTTGGATGGAATACTGAGAGATGGCATGCGTGTATTCTTCTGCTTTGATGGTTTGTTGGAGCCTCTTATGGCTGTCAGATGGCATGTGACGATGACATTATCCACGATCTTTAGCTTAATATCTCTTAATCTTTCATCACCTTTGTCAGTTTATTTATGTTCTTCTATCCACCCCTTAGCAGAACACGTCAAAGTTCAAAGACAGCACCTGGAGACGTGTTCTTGGAACCTGAACAGAGCCAGCCTCTGAGAGTGCACACCGGAGAAGAGAAATGAAATCATGTGGAGTCTCACCTACCGGTTCTTCCCACCGGGACATTTCTTCCGGTTCTTCTGTAGCCTCTTGAATAGAACCAGGAAAGTCATGGAGCACCACAGAGACATGCCATTCGTTGAGTGGCATTTCACCGACCCGGACCGACGGATACATACTTACTATATTTTGATCTTTATATTTTTTAAAAAACATTTATATAGTTATAATTATAAAAATAAAAATATCTAAATTTATTTACTATAATATCATTAATTTTACTAACAGAAAATATAAAAAAAATAAATAAATAAATGACAAATGACGAATGACAACGTCGAAAGTCACGAGTGACTATTATAAATGAGAAGCGATAGCAAGAAGTGAGAGTCGCTCTACATCAATTGTGTCGAATGGTTCTTTCATCGTTTTTCGTCAGTGTTGATGTCGACTTAGTTGCTAAGCATTGAAAGGATCGTTGATGTAAATACTAAGCGACCCTCATCTTTCGTTGTCGCTCTCATTATCCATAACAACTACTCGCGATCCCTAACGATGTCGTCATCTATCACCATTATTTAAAATATTAAAATTATTTTTTTATTTTTTTATTATTATATTTCTATTGATAAAATCAATAATAAATAAATTTAAATATTTTATTTTTATAACTATAAGGATGATAATATAATTTTTTTAATATAAAACCCTAAAGATAATTAATCCGTACGCACAAAGAAGAAAGGAGAGAGGAATCCGAACAAACGATAAGGCAGGCACATAACAACGTCGTCATTGTAGACATGATTTCCAAGAGATATTTCTTGTCCTGTAGACAAGCACGTTGCTCATGTGGTCAATATTAAATGCCCGGTTCCCTTCTCTGTGGCTACAGAACAGCCCAAGAAACATTGATCAGTTAACTAATAAGACATGCGTGTTCCAAATAATATCTATCTCAACCCAACCTCCAAGTAAATAATTGGAATAGTTTATAAGATAAGACCTTGATGGATTTACTAGCTTAATCCTAGCTTTTTATATATAAAAAGAAATAGATTTTAATCGTATTTATTATTATTATTATTAATGATGGGTCTCTTTCTTGATCATCAAATTTACGTCGTTCGTTCGTATCGAGCAAAGCTGGTTAGATTCATATTCTTTAGTCCATCAAAAACGATAATGGAAGATTATTTTTTGGATATCGAAGGATTTTTAATAATTTTTCTCCGCACTTAAGTGAAAATATTATTAAGGATTGAGGGTTCAAATAGTGGAATTTCAGTCAAAGAAATAAGTAGTAGGAAAGCTTAAGAAATACCTGAATAAGTGTGTCTTGTGTATGATAGATTTTGTTATATGTGAATAGTGGATGTATGTATTTTATAATTTATAAGTAAATACCTCTAATTTTAAAAATATCGAAAATATTATTCAAGAGTTTTTCCATCATTTTTTTTATCAATATTCAATCGTTATAGTATTTTCATTTGACTCTTTTACAATATTTTTCAGTAACATTTGTAATATTTTATTGATATTACTAAAAATATCATAAATATTATCGAAAAAATTATAAGTGACATCATATTATATATCTTTAATTGTTTTTACTCATATACTATTATAATATTATATTTTAAAGTTTATAATTAATTTGGTCGAGGTTAGAAGTCCATTTATATCATTTATAATATTTTCCTAATACTGTTTTTATTATGATGGTTAGAATATTATAATAAACTAATTTTTTTATTTCTAAACTATTATAAATATCTATTTGAATTATGATATATATAATATTTTTTAATGTATTTCGATTTTATTTGATTCGTTTACAGTATTTTATGTAAAATTTATAGTATTTTATTATGATGACTAAAATATTATAATAAGACAAAAACAACATCTAAACACTATAAGAAAAAAAATTATAGGAAATAGTTTAATTTTTATAATTTAAAATATTATTTTTTTTTTAAAAAAAAGGGATACTGATTGAACAATATCTAATATATTTATAGTGAATTTATGTTAATTCTTTTGACGCTTCAAAAGTATATTCTCTCACATGCACTTCTTGGCCTCTTCGATCCCCAAATCCCTAAATTAACATGGATACCATGTTATCATATTTGGTTGCACTGGTGTATTGAATATTGTCGAGAAATCAGCTAATTGATCACGAAAAAGACACGACCCTGTTGTCGTCATCGTCTTCTCCCCATTCGCAAACCCTCGTCCCTTTCTCTCCCGTTGGCCGTCGCGAGCCCTCGCCTCCGCCTTACGGTTCAGCACGGTCGGAGGAGAGATGACCGCGCCTCCGGAGCAGCGACAGAAGCCGGACCCCAGCGCCGCTACCAAGGGCTTCTTCCGCCATCTCGGCCTCTTCGAGATGCTCCCCGAATCCGCCGACAAGAAGGATTTCTTCTCCGACCTCATCCGCAGCATCCTCAAGGTCGACCGCGTCGAGCCCGGCCGCGTCACCTGCACCCTCACCGTCCGCTCTGCCGTCACCGTTGAAACCCGCCCCTTCCCCTCTCGTTTCTCCTCCGTTTCGTTCGTCAGTTGATTATCTTTTCCTTCTTATGTTGTGTGTAGAATCCATACAACACGTTGCATGGAGGTGCGGTGGCGGCCGTGGCAGAGATGGTGTCCCTGGCTTGTGCGAAGACGGCGGCCGGCGACAAGGACTTCTTTCTCGGGGAGTCGAGCACTGCTTACCTCTCCGCTGCAAGGCTAAATGTGAGAAACCAAGCCCATCAAGGGTCTTCTTTGTCAGATTCCGCTTGTTGATATTTTGTTCTGATAACCGTCTTCGTTCAAATATTCTACTTGATCGGAAATTAGTGCGTTTGATTTGATGTTTGTGTTTAGTCTCGGTACAACTTGTTCACAGTAGTAGCATTATTCGAGCAATAAGAATAAGTTGAGATTAGAAGAAATCTTTGCCCTAATGGTTCTTATGTTCCTTGTACAAGAATGTTTGGATATGAACTATGATTTTATAAGAAAGTCTAGTCTTACAAAAATGAAAATAAAAAGGCAATATTGAATTCACATATCCCTTTGAAATTAGTGGATTTTTTTTGGATTTACCCCTATGAAATATGAAATATTCCTTGTATTCTGCTTTCTACATAAGAAGAAAACAAAAGGACTTTTCTAAATGGTATTTGTCTTATAGAGTACCTATGTTCTAGCATAGTCAACAAACTTTTACGTTCTTTAGTATTGCAAATAATTGGCTGTTGCACCAGTTGTATCTCTTTAGAGGTGTGATTTTACACAAAGTCTCCTTTTACCTCATAAGGATTATCAAAAAGGCACTCTTTACCCTTTTTCTTGGTTGTGGTGACTGAGCAATAGTAATTAATGCAACCAGAGTTGCCTAGCAGACATTTTTAGATGGGGTTTATGACACTGTTTCATGTTTCTGTCAGGATCATGTCTCCATTTTCTGTCATCTCAAATTCACTGATCCATATATGTTGTGCACTCTTTTTATGTCCTACGTTTTTTCTTTCCATTTACATCATATGAATTTGACATGAATTCATATTTTAAAAATAAGTCAAAATCATCTGATCCATATAGATTACATTTTGTGTTTCCCTTGCTTATTATGAGCACTCTGTTATTATGATAACTTGCTATTACCTTACACACATCTCAAAGAAATCTGTGATATCTCTTTCGAACTGAGGAGAGGATGTGATATCTTATGTGACACATCTCTAAGGTACCTAAGAGCTTTATTTGGATTATGATCTCATCGAGACAAATTATTACAATATCCTTTCAAAATTAGTTGGGATATTTTAATCTCATTGGATAAGAAAAGTGTATGATGCTCTCTGAGTTGTGGCTTTCTTTTACTTCCTGTGATTATACTGCTGTCCTATGATCCTTATATGGTGCTTTGTTAGCTTTGTTTGATGGATTTTTGATGATAAATCATCAGTTATATGAATTACTTTATATATGTTTTTCTATTTGTTATTATTTCCTAATTAATTTCTGGTCAACTAAACTTTGTAATTCTTTTTAAATATATTTATACTTGTCGTTGTCTTCTTGAAAGCATATATTCATTGAACATTTGTGACTTGCTGACCACCATGTTGAAAAGGTATACTTGGACACTTTTTTTAGGTGCCACATGAAAAGCATCAGAAGAGTCCCCTGCTTTTTCGTTGACTTGGCAATCTATTCTAAAGTTGTATAAGATTTTGGGTGATGAGGAGTAGTACATAGCTTGCAGACTTGTAATCTGGAGTTAGAATAAAGAAAATTTAGAAGATCTAGGAACTTGATTGGTTTCTTTGCCATACGTGCATGCTTGCAGTCATTACTACTTAAATGGTTAATGTAATTCTTTGTTGCTCAAATGGCATCACTATTAGTAGCTAAATTGGAGGAAGCTGTTCTTTATATGTATTCATCTCTTCCCCATTAGAAGTCTGGCATGATTTTCTGGTATGTTAATTTATGTCAAAAAAGGCTAGCTTACAATAAAGTACCAGTTATGGGCTTCAAATTAGATGGTGATGTACTACCTATTGTCTTCTTTTGTTAGTTGCTGAGGCTAAATTAAATTGTGGTTGCTCCATTCACACTGTAAGGCTTCTTGAGCTTTTAGACACTTCCATTGCATATGATCAATAGCCCACTTGAGTCATTGCAAATGGCATAAAATTACCTTTCCAAGCTCCTAAGCTAACATGCATGGGACAGGAGTTATTTCTTCCATGGATTGCCATACTAGTGGCAGACATGTTGATCTGTAGTCAAACTGGTATGAACGGTATACTGACTGCATCACCTGCATCTGCTGAAAGAAACAGGTGAAAAATTAATATGAGTTAGGTTTTGGTTTAGGTTTTACCTTCTTCTGCTCTCTTAGGGCCCTTCATCTTCCTCCTCTGGAATCACTTGTTGAAGCAGATCAATGTAGAACCTCCATTTAACAAAATGTTGAAAACCGGCAGGTTGGCTGGTTGAAACATTATGTACTGCATGGTATGTACTGATCACAACAGGTAGCACATGAATGATCTCATATAGACCAAAGATGGGGTATCCTTGAGGTAGGGTCACACCGGAGACAAATGAGACTTTTGGGCCAATTCTAATGAGAGAATCGGACATTAGAGAGGTAGAATGTGACTTGCGATTGGAAGTTTATACAAATTATTATCAGATGCCTACTAATCAGCATCCTGATGGAATATGCAACTGATGGTTTGAATCCAAAGTTTTATTTGCTTTAAAATTCATCTCATCTACTCTTGTCATGGTTGGTTTAGTTGACCTGAATCGTATTAAAAAGAAAAAAACCTTGGTTTATCTCTAACTTACGTTATGGATGACTATTCGCAGGAAGATGTGGAAGTCAATGCATCCATATTGAGGCAGGGTAGAAACGTGGTAGTAACATCAGTAGATTTCAGAACAAAGAAAACTGGGAAGCTTTTATTTACATCTCGCTCTACCTTTTACATTATGCCAGTGTCAAGTCTTTAAACTCTATTTTATGAAACTTTATGTATTATAATAAGTTAATATGTGAATAAGGAACAGCAACCAACGAGATGGTATGGTTTCAGTAAATGGCGATCTTATGTTGATTGTATAATAACAAAAATTTTCTTTTATGTCAATCCTACTCAATGTTGGCTATTCAATTCTTTGCAATTTTTTCCCATCAAATATCTTAATATCTTTGTGTAACAGTCTTTCTTTACATCATGACAGTTAATTATGATGAGACTGCTAGAGGTGCCCCTTGCAAAATATAAGCACAGGTAAATAAACACTGTTATTAGGTAGAAACATCAGCTGCAATATACTACTTTCCTGTTTACTTTATTTCATGATTCCTATCTCCTACCTGTCCTGCTACTACATCTGATGTGAATTGACATAAATAATGTAATTTAGCTTTTCCAATTTGATTCATCCTCTTATATTCTTCTTCACACCTGTGACAAATTAATTCTAACTGCATATTTATTTCTCGTTAATTGATTTTTTTAATATAATCTTTGCAATTGACTTATCAAGGTCTTCTTTACCATATTTCATTCATCTGTTCTTCATGTTTCCTACCAAGAAAGTGGTTCTTGTAGGAATAGTCTGGTTTTTATTCCTAATTAAGCACTGATACTACTCCCGAACATTTTATCTTTCATCTCATTCGTGAACCTTTGTCATCTTACTTAGTTCAAACAGAGAGATAGAATTAGCATAGTGGTATTAAATCTCAAAGCTCTATATTCTTGATAGTATCAGCATTTGGTGATGGTTAGTCGCAGTGACAAATAAGTAATTGGACTGAACCATGATACTGCAGCAGTTGTGTAAGAACTACGAAGTGCCAACTGATCTCTGTTAACACATCCGGGTTGGTTAATGCATGGTTACTTCACAAAAAAAAAAACAAATCGGTCTCAAGAAGCCAATCGAGAGTGCCTAACATCAATAAAATTGTTGCACTATAACGCCTGATGGGCCTCATATGGATGATTTCATGTAACCATCTCAGTGAGCTAACTGTTACTCAACGATTATTCTAGTTCATCCAGTTGTATGTTTGAATCTATCTGAAAGTTATATCATTTTCGTTCTCGAATCATTTGAATTTTCACTAATTTAAGCATCAAGGTATCTTTGTCGATTACCTCTCTAACATTTTTTGTATGACTTCTTGCTGAATTTCTCATCTCCTCGACATCAATGGATCTGAGCCATTGATTTGTCGGACAATCAAAATATGAGTTAATATTTTTTATTATTTTAAAATTATTACAAGTGTTACATATATCAAAAATAGAATTGGAAAAGAATAATATACTTAATCAATATATAAAAAAGAAAATACCGATGTAGCTAAATGAGATCAAACTCCCGTTCAAGCAATATTTAGTTTTGTATTGGTTGAAAAGCTTGGGAGTCTGACCTCGTAAAGAATCAAATGTAACATCAACGTGATGCTGACTAGAATTTAGTCAATACACAAGGTTGTCAAGTGAAGGGGAAAGAAATTTTCTCGTGCACTTACTCTTAGCTGACTTTGCACCTATGACGAAGGAAAAGTCGCTGATTCTTGTCCTTCGTTTAGGAGAAAATATCATTGATTTCTTAATTAGTCTGAACTCGTGTGCGCATAATTTTCCGAAGTAGAAGTGTCATGCTTCCGAAGTATCACCACATATATGAAGATCGAGATTAAGAGAGGTTTCCCAACCCGATCTCTCCGACGTTAAGTTAGTAGTATTCCCAAATATAAATTCGAGTAGTTAAAAAAAAAAGAGCTTTTCTCTTATTTAAAATATATTTTTATACATTAAAGAATGATAAGGAAGTTTGAAATAACTTTTCTTGTGATAAATTTTATGAACGAGAAAGATATTTATATTTTCTTCTTTAAATCTCACGTGGCAACAAGAAAGATTATATGAATATATACTCTAAGAGGCAAGTAGAAATAGTCATCTTTTAAGAGGAGAAGAAATAAATAAACATTGACCTGTTGATTTTGGAACGAGCACTTCAAATCCAACTTGTCCACACCAATCACACACGCAAGTGAATATGATCCATTGAAAGATCTTCGACTCTTCTAGATTTTGGGATGTCGCGGTGATCGTCAAAGTACTTTTTGAGTACGACAGTTATTTGTTCTACACGAAATTGAAATAACTTGCAGACAGCTTCGTCTTCTAATCTTTACTTATATTAACAATAAAATGGATTTAGTCGACATGGTTTCTTCGGTTTCCAAACTTGCTTACAAATGGCCACGGGTGTATCGATCAACTGTCTTTTATTTAAAGTTTCATGATGCTATGATGCTCTTATTGGATTTGCCACATTCTTCGGACAAATAGATTTGAAAGCCTAATCATAAAAGGGAACCAATCACCCGAACAATTTTACATGTTATTTTTCCTATCTCGGATACCGTGTGGTCTGTTCCATCAAATTCTCTCGTGATTTCCCATGTTTTCTGTTTCCGTTGAAAGCTGTTGTATTATCGATTAAAATATATAATTATGATCAAGATTATGACAATATTGATCACATGTTGTTCTTTTTCTCACTCTATTTTGTCGTCATTGTTGTGGGTTATAATCATCTTTTATCTTTGAATAAAAATAAATTATTTTTGTAAATATTTATGCTCTTAAATTGGGTCAACAAAGTTGGTTCGCGTCTCATCATCCACCATTCATGGCTTTCTCCAAGTGGCCCAAATTTCAAAGGGCCGAGTCACTTCAAAGCTATGCACCAATTCCATGTGGATGCTACTGCACGAGAACACTTTAGTACAATTCCTGGCTTTAGACCACGTGGAACGATGACGTGACAGCTTCCACGGAGTCTCCAAGTCGGGCGCCGTTCAACTTTTGAGATTTCTGGCCGCCGTTCTTGGAAGATATTTCGGAGGCGTGCACGTGAACGGCACCGCCCGCCACAGTCACATCCAAACCCCGAAACGATTGAAGTCAGGAAGACGACCGCCGCCGCAGTAGGAGGAGAAATGGCGGGCACAGGTTAGCCGTATCCGGATCTGCTGAGAGAGGAGTAAAAGCTTCTGCAGTAGCGGTTGAGGCTTATGATCGCCATCCTCCTCCATCATCAATTTGACCGCTGCCATTAATGCAATAGGATGAATCCTCCACTGTCGTACCCGTCTCCGATGTACATTTCGCACAATGCGGATGGATAAGCCTTCTCATATCAAGACGAGGCTGAGAGCCTCCGGGTCGCGCACGTGGAGATTCGTGCCGTGGAATTTGATGGAATTCTAAGCCGCTCTTGCGGTTGGATTTGCACCTTCCCGGGATGTAGCGTTTCTCGTTCCCATTAGGCGACCGACGCGTGTCGATTCGTACTATAGGTACATCTTCCCGGAACCTTCTGGAAAATAACGTAGCCTCTCGACCCGATCGTTTCCCACCACCATCCGCGTTACCTTACCTCCGCCGTGTTCCATCTGCCCTACTAAAACCTTTGGCTGGCGAGCTATCCTTGCCCTCGCATGGGTCCACGGACACGAGCACCGCGGGCGCCTGGTGAGGAGGCGGCCGAGGTGGCGCCGGACCCGCAGCGGACGGTGCCGACGCCGTTCCTGGCAAAGACGTACCAGCTGGTCGACGATCCCTCCATCGACGACGTCATCTCATGGAACGAGGACGGCTCCGCCTTCGTGGTGTGGCGCCCCGCCGAGTTCTCCCTCGACGTCCTCCCCAACTACTTCAAGCACAACAACTTCTCCAGCTTCGTCCGCCAGCTCAACACCTACGTGCGCTCGCCGTGCTCTTTGATTCGATTCGATTGACTTCTCCTTTTCTTCGGTGTCAAAAAAAGGGGTTTTTTCGGTTTGGAATTGGTAGGGGTTTCGGAAGACCGTGCCGGATCGATGGGAGTTCGCCAACGAGTGCTTCCGCCGAGGCGAGAAGCGGCTCCTCTGCGAAATCCAGCGCCGGAAGTTGTTGCCCACGCCCGGCTTCGCGGAGGTTCCCGCGGCTGCTCCTACTAATCGTATCGGATCGCCATCGAGTTCCGGAGGCGACCAGGTCCTGTTCACGAACCCTTCCTCTGGCCGTGTGCGACTGCCAGCGGCGGCCGAGGGGGGCAGTGGCGGAGCCTCGGAGATCGCGGAGGAGAACGAGCGGCTGCGGCGGGAGAACGAGCAGCTCTCCCGGGAGCTCGACCAGACGAAGGGCCTCTGCAACGACATCCTCCAGCTCATGTCCGTGTACGCGCCACGCCGGGGAAACGGCGAGGCAGCCGACGAAGGAGGAGCGTCGACATCTCATCCCCCAGAAACGGGAAGGTCGTCGAATGGGGACGAGGAGGAAGAGGGGGAGGACGAGGTCGTGGCGAAGGAGGCGGAGGCGGAGGGAAGTTCCGGCCGGGGCGAGGGCCCAAGGCTCTTCGGCGTGTCGATCGGGTTCAAGCGGAACCGCGGAAAAGAAGAGAGCGCCTCGGACGCTGTCGCCGAACAGTGACGAGAGACAACGGACCACAACGGTTGATGCTTCGGACCGTACCGCGCCCGTGCTTGCGACGGGGTCGACGGCGCTCGGGCGACGAGGCCAGTGCTGGCGGAAGATCCGAAGCACTCGTTAGGATCCGAAGCTTAGGGTGTTTGTTGGTTAGCTTTCTTTTTCTTTTTTCATTATTTTTTCTTTTTACTTTGAATATTTTCCTTTTTCTGATCTAAATCTCGGCAGTGATTAATCTCAATACACTTCCGCAGGGATAATTTACCGGTAAGAATTATTATTTGTTCTGTAGAACACCTCTATTTTCACTATTTATTGCAGAGTATTTTTCTGATGTTCCAATATTGTCTTATTTTTATTTTTTTTTCTCTATTTAATCAATCCAATTTTTTTCTCTTAATTCAAATCAAAAAACAATAAAATAAGATCGGTCAATTTTTAGGGAAACTTTAGAGAAAAAAAAGGACAAGAAAAACTAAAACAGTAAAACACTTGTGTAGGATAAAGGAAATATATGATAGCATATTAGGATTACTTTCTAGTAGAAGAAAAGCCTAAATCGGTTAGATCAATCAATTATTGGAACCTATACGATGAAATATATATGTAATACAAGTCGTATAGTTATTTCGATTGTTTAAACCATACCATATTCGAGTCACCTCAATCAGGAATTACAAATTCATGTTTGAATTTGGCTCATACTTTCCTTTTTTGTGAATGAGCCAAATCTAGTCAAACACAGTGTCCAAGTATTACTTCTCGGAAGTAAGCCAATTGTTTTGGTATCCTCAACAATGATCGTATTAAAACTTTCATGGTGCATGAAATAAGCTACTACAGACGTGAGACTCCATTAGTTTCACTAGTCGTTGATGATTGCTAAGGGATAATTATAGTGACAGCCAAAATGGCATCTAACTATAGTTTTGTAGCGAGAAAACTTGTTTGTTGATTATGTATAATCTGAGATTTTAAATACTGATCAAATTAGTACATTAGATGTAATATCGATATAAAAAGATATTGCTACTAGTACATACTAATATAATATATTTAATGATATAGGTTGATGTGACAGTACGGCAGCTTATATTTTAATACTATATTATCAAAATCAATATTAAAACAATCAATTAAAATATAGATATCATAGTACTGTAGCTCATCCCATCATATCCTATGATCTCGATTTGTCGAGGTGCCCACAAAAGAGTTTTTTCTATTTGTTCATTATGA